ATAAAGGCATTATCTTTTTATTGACCAGGTGCGCCACGTTTTAAGCGAATATAGGAAAGTCTGACTTCGTTATTCCTCTTCCTACCATATCAGTTATTTCACGTTCAACTATGTCCTGTACATAAATTGTTCTATTTAAGGCAAAACATTGATCGATCGTAGGTAAACTAGAATGATCTTTTAACTGGTCTTCGACTGGACGAGTATTCTTCCGAGCCTTCTTTTTGTACATAAATATTTTATGTACTTGCTCATAATCGACAACGGACGGGAGTTTATTTCCTCGTCCCGTCGAGCACTCAGAGTCGACGACAACATTTGAATGATTGCGTGCTTGTGTCGCGTAGACAGGACAGTTATATGAAGCAAAAGATAAGAAAATCGTAAAACAAAAGTTAATGGAGTGACATAAGTAACTCAGATTTTTTGATAGAGTGAACGGTATCTGTGAATATTAATTACCGGTTACCATATTTTATTTACTATTTATTTAATTTTATTGCGATATTTTCGTCGTTTTTGATTTTAATGTGAGATAATTTCAGTCATTCGTTTGTCCATTTTAGGGTCACTTACAATCGCTTGCCCATTTGCGCTTTTACTGTTGTGGTTCATTCGACATGGTTTACGCTGTTTCGTATAAGGTTTTGACTGCTAGATATATATTCTAATTATTACAATATTCCTATGATAGCGGAAGCCTTTAGGGGTTGAGACACCAACGCCCTCCAGTATATTGAATTCGATTCGGATTATTTAACTTAAATTTCACGCGACATTTGTTTTTTGCTTTGTTTATGGTCTTACACAACAATAAACAAACAAAACAATAATTATGGCAGCGAGCGACGCACAAATTACACTCTTGTGAATATATTTATCGATCTCCGATATTTTGGTTAGTATTAATATTGCACGTGACCTACAGCTCGTAATTGAACTCACCTACGAGATCTCATAACGCGCAATAAATTGCTTAAGATTGCTAGATAAATACTCACAGGAGTACTATACAAAAGCGAATCAATAAAAATATGAAACGGCGTCAGGTTTTTTAAGTGAGAAAATGTGGAGAAGGTTGCTAATAAAAATAATATTAAAGCAGGGTATAGATCAGGGTAAAAATACTAAAGTATGCTCAAAATTCGTACGTGTTCGAAATTGACACTGCAATTCACGTAAGTATTGTCTTTTCATCTTGGTCCATATTGGTATAATTTATACTGTTTGTTTTAAAACAGAACAGAACAACAGCATATGATTTTAATTTTAATTTGCGATTTTAGTTAGTCTGTTTCAACCAAATTTGGTTTATTTCGATACCTTATAAAGTAGCTTGTTTCATATAAACTAGCTTCAGGAACGGGTGCTTGCTATCTTAATCACACACCTTTATATTGATCAATATCTACCGGTATTGTGCCAGTGCACGAGGAATGTTGAAAAACATGGGATATGTACATCAAAAAATTAGTTATTTAGTTACTATTTCCGGAGAAGCTCATTTGTCGATTTTCGAGAAAGTGTTGTTGTTTTTCAATTTTTTCAAAATATAATCTGTGATTAAATGAATTATTAGCGTTATGAGGTACTTATGCTGTGGGTTTGCGTATTGGTAAAAAATCTATAGTTTGGGTTCATAGGTATTATTCATATTAATTGCAAATCAACTGCGAACAATGCAGTCTAATAATTCAGGCAACTTTCAGGCTTTTTAGTAACTGTGTAACGTACAGCATTGTAACTAAAGTGGGCGTCGTATATATTCAGATTGGGAGTGAACGAAGTGTTTTGTTTTTGCAAGGGATTCAGAACATCTTTTTATGCAAAAGGCTGCATTGAGGAGAGTAGTAATTTTTTCTAAAGTCCATATTATGTAGTTGAGTTACCTTTCGATAAAATTTAGCGTGTAAAATATCCAAAAATAATGATTTTTAAAGGAATGTATCAACTGATAAAGTAAAAACATCAACTGACTCAAACTTGTTTGACGAAGCAAAGTTATCTACTGTTCATGAAAACAATATTGTCAATGCGACTGATGCATTTTATGACTGTCATCAACCAATTTATCAAATTGATTCGAGGAGTGAGATTTATAAACTGACTGCAGATTGGGCCGCAATAAAATTTCTGTTCTTTGACCTGTATACTTTTATTATAGAGAAATTTGTTCACATATGTAAGTGGGTGAAAACAGAAGAAGTTTTTGTAATTTTTAGTATTTGTAGTTGTAAGAAAAGTTACAATTTTCTTTAAAAGTAGGGTGCGCACGGAATGCTTATCTCTGGTTTAGGTGAAGTGGATAAGAATAAAAAAACAAAAACAAAAGTTTTAGTTGACTGGAGAGACATATTTCGATTTTGTTATCTGCTTATTTTCAATGGACACTATTCACAGTCTTTCTTCTGGAACAGTAATGTAAATATAGCCGGACGATAAATTATACAGCATATGTATGGTCAGATGGTAGACAAAGTCCTTTAAAAGTATCAATAAAGATGGCAGGCTAGGCATATCTATGATTCAAGACTTCGTCGAAGATCAACATTGGTCAACGAAGATCAAATTGGCACAACATTGGTCTAAATGCCCCTTCTTGCATAAATTGTAATGAAATTTTTAATTGTTCTACAATAGACGGCGTCCATATGTATAAATATAAGCACAGCCATATTTATATATTGCAATATATTTGGTAGCAAAATAAAGCTTATTCTGTTATTAAATGATATTTGAAAGACTAATCGTATTTGCTGTACCAGCATAACTTCATCAAGATCCTATATTGTATTATCTGATTTATTATAACATCAGTACAAAGCAGATCACAAGTAGAAACAACATTATTGATTTTTCTACAATTGGCAAATGAGGTAAAATCACAATGAAGAGTTCAAATCGGGAATTGTTGCATTGCAAATAAATCGATTTCCGATTAGCGTAGCTACTTTTCACCGCATAGGTGAAGTGTTTGGTATAAATTGTTAATACCACATTAATCTTAGTACCTAACCTGGACCAACTTGTACAGTCAGTTTTTTTTTATATTGCGGTGCTGGATCCGAAGACTTATTTAATGTTCAATCAAATCAATACAGCCGGAACAAAAATTAAAAATTCCCTCAACGCCTACAGTCTGAGTCAAATCAAAACCTATCGTTTTACGATTTTTCAATCATATGCAGAGTAACTTGGAAAAATACTTCTCGACGGGGTGTAGATAATTTTTGCGCCAATTATTTGAACAGGATGTTGGCAATTTATATATATTGCAATGTAGATATTTCTGAAATTAAAATATTTACTTCTAAATTTAAGCTAAGAAAAATAACTTGGATTTATAACCTATGTATTCGTAGTACTATAGTGCTACTTTGTACGTTAGAACATTTTTGAGGTGAAGTGTTTTTATTCGATGTAAAACTGTTTATGGGAACAATTATCAATCAATACGCCTGCTGTCCATGACTTATATACCACTTTTACTATTGGTTCTCACTGGATGCTAAAAGCAAAAGGGAAGAGGGAATGGAACTAATTTTTTGAAATTATATAATCGAATTTCAATTCCGTGCGCTCGCAACTGAAATTATATTATTGTTTGTAATATGCGAGCAATATATTCCCAAACAGCCGCGTCGCCGTCTGTCGAACGTATGATAAAATGCAGATTAGTTTGTCTGGGTTTATGAGAAAAGTTCGAAATTACTTTAATATTATAGTATATACTTCAAGTTAATGATCTGTTTTGGGAGTTGATTTTACTTGCAAAAAATGGATTTATGGACCCAGGTATTTAGGAAAATACATAAAGATTGTTTTTGAAAGAGATTTGTAGTTTTGTAGTTTTTGGCAGTATCAATTGGTGTCTTCTGCGAATCAATTTTATTGGAATATCAATGTGACGGGTTTATGGTCGGTTTTCATACAATAGTGCAAGTATGGGAAGTAGTATGCAAGTATATTTAAAAATATGAATGTAGTATTCAATATGAACGGCTCAAATCACTTTATAAATTATTCCAATTTTATTTCTATTTGTGTTTGTCATTTTTAAGACTAAAATGTAAAAGTAGGGAGTGGTGGAATAGCATGGAAATGTCGAAGTGAAAAACCTGAAACTTTCACCTCGTTTTAGCTGTTCCTAATCGCGCTTGTGTTTAGTATGAATGTATGAAAAGAAAGATCTTCCTCTATCTATCGATATCCCATTTTCGCCAGGAACCATGACAGGTCACCAATCATTTAAAAATTTCGTAATACCTTGAATTTACATTTAAACAACTTTTCAATTTCAATTTTACATGGGCGCCTTTTACGCCGATTTATTGAATATTTTAGTACAGGTTTGTTTCCTGATATAGCGAACCAATGATAATATATTACTAATAACAATAATAATTTTTAATTTACAATAAATTTGCTCGTTCGAATACAATGCAATGCAAATATATTTTATAATTAGAACGCGCTTGCTCACACACCTTCTAGAGACATTTCATAAAGTCTGGCTAAATTTTGTCTATAACTTAGTTAGGATCATGTCTGTCTGTGTTGCTAATCTGATTTAAACCGTAACCGTCTTCTATGTGTTATACGGTTAACAACAGTTATTCAACAATAACAAAGTTGTGATGAAACGTTTGAAATAATGCGACAAGAACAAAGTAAAAGCAAGTTTATGTTACAATTTCATGGTAGATTTCCCCGAGTTTTTCGCTGTTGAACAATATTTTTGCTCGTAATAACTGACAACACATTATTCTTATATGTATTTCTAATACTAAATAGGAACCTATAGGGGGTATAAAACCTAAAAGTCTTAAAATTAAATAGTCGATTAATACATGTCCTTATCTCCTCTCTATATCTATCACAGAGTGACATCTAGACTCTAACTCTAAAGATCGGTAATGTGTAGCATCGCATTGCAATAGAGAATTAATCTGTTTCTGGATTTTATGTTATGCAGATATTTAGAATATTGTTGTCAAATGTGTAATATTCATCTTGTGACTTGTTTCATGTCGATGAGAAACAACCTTGTATCCAGATTGCTTCCACTGTAGCCAAGTTAACGGATATTGACTCGGAATATATTTCGCACAAAAGACGAACAAATATTATAAGCCATTATTTGGAGTTTTTCAATACTGGAGCAAATCTAAAATGTTTTGCTTTAATATAAACTTATGTACACGTGTTTTGTTCGCTCTTTTAACCATATTAGTTAGAAGAGCGACGGCGACAGCTGACGCGAGACGCACAGAAGCATGGCCGTCCGAATCGATTCTTGAATCGTCATCAGCATCCCCTTCTGTATTTACACCTCTGAGTCCGTTTTCAAATAAATATTCCAGGAGCGATTCTTCTGAGCCTGTGTTTACAAAGAACGTGTTCACAATGACAGTGCCATCCATGTTCATTTTTGAAAACAAAAAGGGACAGTTTTTGAAAATGCCAAAATGGACGCCAAAACAGACAATTTTCAGAGCCATTCCGTCTTTCGGAATTCCCACGATGCCTACACGAACTAGGCGAACTATTAGCTCTGTTTTCTCATTTGAATTTCGATCCTCCCTTCGCAATGGACTTCTGTTATATTTGGATGATGGTGGCCCCCGGGATTACATCGAGCTATCTCTCCGTAGTGGTATTCTCCAGCTTAGTTTTAAATTTGGAAACGCCCGCTCAGTTAAAGTTACAGTAGGAAAAAATTTAGATGATCGTCGGTGGCATTCCGTTTCTATGGAGGTGAAAGGAACACAAGTTTCTCTTTCAGTAGACGGCAAAAAAGCAGTGGCGACTGCAGGAGGGCCCGATGCGAGTGCTATTTCTCCGCAGAGTTTTTGTTATATCGGTGGCATTCCTTCTAAATATCGGCTTGAAGACTTGTCATTGCCTTCCGTGTATTTTGTTAGCGGGTTTCGTGGCACCATACGTCGATATGCAATTGATGGAAAATATCAAAGACCAATGGGAAAAGCGGAAGTTATCGAAGAAGTTGGATCAGATCTCTGTTACACCGAACGTAACCCATGCAAGAATAATGGGACTTGTATTGTACTCAACAACGAACCGGCTTGCGATTGCTCTGAAACCAGACGTTCGGGAAAATATTGCGAAGGAAGTGAGTAGTTTTTTAATTGTTCTTACATGTGTTAGTGATTTCGTGTCACAATCAAGCAAATACACTATCTTTCACTGTATAAACTAGAGCACTATTTTACAACTTCATTTCTTTTCACGCTCTTCTTTTGGCAGGGAGTGAAGGTAAGTTATAAATGTATTTCACATGCTCAAATCATATCCAATATTCTGAATTCAAATATAACTTTGTTTGTTACTCCGAATTATCGTTCTGAAATTGGCTATATTATATTCTATAAACTAACGTCACATGAAATCAAAAATTTTTGTATAATAAGGTTAATATTACCCTATTGTAAGTGATTGCTTTTGACCCATGTTAACAGTTCTCATTTAGATCCGCAAAATTGTATCATTTTATTAACGCCATGAATCCATGATATATTCTTTTTAACAATAACTTCAAAATCGACTATTGGAGCAATAAAACGCAAATTTTCCTTATTGACCTTTTACCAGCCTGTTATTCTTAGATTCAATGTGCCTGTAACATACATACAAAGCTATATTTTTCTTTTATGCGAATCAGCCGCAGTGTATCAGTTATCAAATATGATTCATGGTATTACCATGGTTAATCTATGATAGACTAGCGCCATGGTATAGATTAAAAATTTCGGAATTATTTTGTATACACTCGATCAAACATCATCTTCAAAACACGCCATAATCAATTTAGTTGTTGAGTATGTTTTATCGACGGTGTACAAAACGAATTGTAAAATAACTTGGTTAGAAGTATGCATGAAACAAAGTTGTCGGTGATGATAAAAACAATCTCGCTAAATGGCTGGTGTGAATATGAAATGTTTAAAATAATATAAGCGAGGTGCAAATCCATTGTAAAGATTTGATTCACATATTTTGAAGTGGAAAATTTGAATTTAAAATTTCAACTAGTTAAAGGATTCTTGCCGGAGTGCCAGCTTTTTTGAAATAAATTAATTTTAGAAATCCATTTTCAATAATTGAATCTATCTTGAGGCCAAAAGGAACGATATATTAATGAGCGGTTATGTTTACACGAGGTCCTCTAATTTTGGAACAGATAACTCAAATTTCTCTATTGACTCGGCGAGATAGGGGTATGTCTTCCACTGAAGATATATACAATGTTGTTTATTGGCAAATATATACAAAACTTCACAATAGGTTTCCTAAATTACAAAATTAAATTGAGATGTTGTATTTAGATGAACTTTTTTTTTCAAATTTACTAAATTTACTATCTTTAAAGATACGATTCAAGTACGCTCGGATATAAAAATGACATCTATACTTTTTGAAAAATGAAAGAATACGAGGTTCATAAGCATATGAATTTGTAAAATGTTAAATTTCTTGTTAGTCCCATGTCAGATCATCCGAAAATTTACAATGGATTTGTATTAGCCTGCAGTAACAAAAAATGTTTGATGAGCATGTTTGATCGATACTGTCTCTGTTTTTGAAATGAGATTTTGGCTGTAATATTGCCGAAATGCATTATTTGTGAGTTTTTACATAATGAGAGTTACAATTCCCTTGAGAATTGTTTACATAATTTTGAAATATTTCAGTTTCATTCTTTTACTTGTCATGGCAGTCTGCTCAAACAGGAGGAAAATAGTTATAGAAGGCATATTAGATGGCATGCTGCACTTATTATTTACTAGAATTAAACTCAAATTCATAAATATGTGAAAAAACACTCGAATTATGTATGAAATTAAAGTTTGCTTGATCCATTTCTGTATGCATACATGATCATAAAATAAATAATAAAGTCTAACTTTTGAATATATATTTATATATATATAAAAATTATTTCCTGATATTTAAAGCATACGTTATCTGTTTCACAAAATTGATGACATGAAATGTTTTTTTATTTACGTTTTGAAAAAAGATTTATTATTTTAACATCTAGATTCTAGACCAGTGGTTCTCAACCGGAGGCCGGTGGTCCCCTAAGGGGGCCCACGAAGCAGTTCAAGTGGGGCCACGACACAAAGCTGATAATTGGTCATAAAGCGACTTCGTTTGCATACTTTCCTTTTAAAATAGAATTTCCCGTTCAGCGTTCACCGCTGTTTCATTGCCTGAATAGGTTGTTTGAGTTCGCAAGGTGTATTCACTTTCTTGTGTATGAATTGTTTGATCATAATGGGATTTGGAATCTACCAATCAAAAGAGTTCGCCGACAGGCCGTCTATCCTGTAGTTTTCACTAGACTGCGAGATAACCTTCGCTATCATATTATAGACGCAAAAACCCATTTTTAAATTCCTAATGCTCAAAATACGAAAATGAAACGACAATTACGTTGGCTTTGGCTTAACCAAAGTAAATCGAGAGGACAGAGAATTTGCTCAATGCTTGCATTGCTTGTATGTAATGAGCAATGAACCATTACGTCCATACCATCCCCGAAACCACCGTGACAAAAGAGCCACCCAAAAGCCCAAGTTAGATTTACATGGAAACAACGTTGGCTAAGATATTGTTTCTGTCGGAGGAAAAGCCCGCTCTTGAATGCAGCTATGAAGTGGCATATCACATTCTTACCCACTACTTAGCAAGAAAGCTCCTTCACTGCTAGTTCAATTTTCCGCAACTTATCTGTGCGAATATGGTTGTTCTGATCTTGTTACCATCAAAGCAAAATCTAGAAACCGTTTTGGTGTTGACAGTGACATTTGTCAATCTATATCAAAGAAGGTTTCTAATATAAGGAACCTCGTCCAACAGTCCCAAGCGCAAGACTCTCATTGATTGTATACTAAAAAGTTTTTACTTTCTTGTCTGGGGTTTGATTTTGCATTCCATAAAAGGTCGTTAAAACATAATACAATCCAACACGTTTAGTTTTTTGACATGGCGAACAATGGGGCCGCGAGTGCGAAAAGGCGCTTGAAGCGGGCGACGAGCCATAAAAGGTTGAGAATCACTGTTCTAGAATCTAGACCATAGCGGGTCTGAATCAAAAATGCTTATTAGCTTAGCTGATAACGCTATATAAGTTATATTATTTTTACTACCGCTGTATATATTACCTTGTTTGCGCCGGTTGTGCACTTGACCAAATGTTTGTGAATGAAAATACTTTTCAAAAGTTCTAATATTTAATTCTCGAACATTGTTCGTGAAGAAAAGGTCATCAGCAATCATTTTTTACATGCTCCTCAACACGACAGTAAAATCCAAAAATAATGAAAAACTTGGTGAATAATTTATATCAAATGACGTGGACTAGTTAACGCACGTACTGCAAATAAAATTCTTAAAAGTCTCCCCTTAACCATTTTGGTGCTACTATAGCTTGAGGTGTACCACACTATAGCCTGATATATACTCCAAGCTAGTCTCTGAGATACGATTAGTTTGAGTTTCATCAATGATTAATATCTTCCCTGTAGTGTAACACTAAGCATGTACAAAACGTTGCTTGATTTGCAGTTGCAAAAATATATGATGTAATGATGATGAGCGACCAAGGTAAGCTGAAGGAATGCTATCAAACACCATTGGTCAATATGGATTAAACATTCCACTCATCTCCGTATATTGGAGTGTTGTATTGCGAATATTTCAAATCATCGTGTTGTGTTGTTTTCTGTCCTATATCAGAGTGTACTTATTATAATATACCGTGCAGCACGCCATACAGTGGTACACGCAGCAGCAGACCAATCCCACGCATTGTGTGAACCCATATCCTATACTTAGAAAACTTTTTTCGACAAACCTAAGTTATAAAAGACCTGACCAAAATTCAGTCATTTGTGGTAAATATTCAAATTCACAATCGATCATCTAATGCGCTACTCATTCACCACACGCTTACTCCTGAAAATGGTTTTATCTTGTCTGAATGTTTTTGTCGATCTTGAATCATGGAACTTGGAACACAGTTCTACTGTTAATATAAATAATGCAAGCCTTGTAATAAATTATATATGTGAACATCTAGTCAGAAAAGTAGCATGACGAAATGCAAACTTTTTCCCCCATTAAACGCTGCCTCAATCAGTCTCAGTATCTCACATTTCTTATTAAAAAAAAAAAATCGTCAAACATTATAAAGTGGCTAAAATATCGATAAAACTAAGCATAAAAAATCATATTGCAATGACATTGTTTTCTAATTTGAGCCTAAAAAGAAAAAACATAAATTTTTACGTGCTTTCAAAAATCTGCAACTCAATTTTTTTTTCACGTAATTTTAGGTCACGAGTGAGATAAGACAGATTTCCTGAAAAAAAAAATATATTTTTGCTTTGCGTATTTTATCTAAAATGAGGCGAAATAATTCGACTGTGCGATAAATTATTGGAGCAAAATATAATGTGCCCAAATTTAGGATTCATGTGAGTAATTTTATTTTTTCGTCACACTGAGAAATGAGATAATTTCGAAAACCACCTGTTGTGTGCATTGTGCCATTTTTTCTCAATTCGATCATGCTTAAATTACATAAAATTGGTCATACTTATGCAGAAAATTTTATGGTCCATTCTTGATCTGGAGGGATTTTAATCTTAAATATTCTTTAATACCAGAGTGACGAATTTGGTTATCTCACACCGCCGTCCAATTAAACTTAATGAAATATGCATTAGAGTCAAACACCTTAATCTTATTTCAAAGAAACGATGAAATGTTAATAAGAAACCCTTTTTATCTTTCCGGTATGATTCAGATAAAAATATAATCTTCCGATATCCTCGTTTAATCCGGGTATAAAATAAAAAATCGGAATTTTCATGTTAACAATTTCATTAAAATCAACTAACAAAAAATTTGCTCTTCAATTAAGTATTCAAAATTTTTATAAAATTAATTTAAAAACTGAAGTCGTGTGGGGTTAGGCTCAAGGTATTATTTTCTATCAGTATATTTATAAACTGACAAGTCAATTCATTCTTTATAAAATATATTATACGTGGGTCTGGGTGATCGGTTACATTAGAGATTATATGAGTAAGATTTCCTCGATCAATTGAATATCTTAGACTTAGAGAGTAGGTGAAAAATTAGGGTTTCATTCAACGTATTCAACCTCATCGGCATGAGCAGTTAATATTGTAGAGCTTGGGATAGAGTCAGTAACATTGCATTAGTGTTTACTTGTTGTATTGTTTTCTCATACTCACATTACGTCACAGATTCATATTCCTAGTTAAATTATCACTCTCGTCTTGTCCTTTCATTTTCTAGCGAACTGGCAAAATGGTGCATTGTCCATGTTATGTAAGTCCATTTAACGTTTAAAACTTTGTGATGGGCTTATTTCGGTCAGTCGCTTGCTGTCGAAAAATACCAATTTAACGACAGTGCAAATCGTCTGAAATAATTCCGCCACAAAGTTTTGAACTTATTTTATTGTTATTTGAAGTGAATTTTTCATTTTCACTCATGTAAAGACTAGACTACAAATTACGTTTGGAAAAATTCCTCATGCATATAACTTTGATGGATCAATTTATTTAAATTTGAAATTTATCTCTTGTGTAATTATTAAGATAAAATTATATCGTTACCATCTTTGCATAAAATCTTAATTGGTTGTAATATTCATAATCATCATTCTAAATTTCACTTCTGCCTTACTACGATTTTTGTAAAATACTGAAGATTTCATAACAACCTTGCTAGAAGTTTGTAAATTTTCCAATCCAAAATGGAAGCAAGCATATATTCTTCGCTCAGTTTTACTTGATTTGTGATCTTGAAGTTTTTCTTATTGCTATTGGTATTTGCTTTTTTACTAGCAATTTGAAAGAAAGTTGTTGAAAAAGATTGAAGAATATTCAAGACAACGTTTGCGCTTGCTTTTATATATAAAATATAAAGCAGTCAGATATTTGACCATTGAAAAAATAATCGTGTTGTAGAATAAAAGTTCATGCATCATTGTGTGTTATATAAATATGGGTTTCATTTCAACAATATTTACAAGCTGTTTTTAATAATTTTAATAAGTTATTGTCAGACTCATTGAAACGGTTTTGAATTTACCAAAATTCTCCAAAGAAAATCACAAAAGAATTAGTTAACTTACTAAGTTTTGCTAAGCGTTTGTTCATTTGTTGCGATGCTTATCGAAATATATGCAGTTACATATTTCTCTACATTCATAGAAACAAAGGCTGAAAGATGTTATCTTGACATTCATTAATTTTCGATAATGAAGTCTGCGAGCATGACATCACAATTATTATTAATCAATTATCATACGCTATTTGTAACTATTGTACTACACTTTATGTGAATCTAACTATAACTTTTATACAAATATTAGCCTACGACGAAGCAGCAGCAACATTTTTAGGAAACCAGTGGTTTGAGTACGACATGAGAGGAAATGGTGTATCAAGTTATTCTGATACGATCACACTGTATTTCAAGACAAAACAAAGCAATGGACTTTTACTGCACACAGGTGAGAAATTATTTATGTGACTGGGAAGTACATTTATCCCTAATATATACATATATTGCATTGAATTTATCATGTCTACGAAGGTATTTAATAAGAAAACCTAGGGTTCAAGTCGATTTGTTTTGCGCAGCGCGACTTGTGGCTGCGTTTCGAATGTTTTTGATTATTAGTACAGTTAAGCAGAGCATAAGACGTAAGTATAACTTGAGAACCCGAGTTTTGGGAGTTGAGCATGTGTTCACGCCGAAAGTACTTCAACGAGCAGTATGCTCACCTAGAAGCATTATCATCATATTGAAACAGGTATTTAAGACAAACTATTTATTGAAAGCGTGATAATTGCAGCATCCCAAAATGAATAAATTTGTATTAAATGAAATATAAAGTTCGTGATCAACAAGAGATTGATTCAAGAACAATATCCATTTTAAATTCTCATACATACAACGACGAAAACACACAGTTTCTTCCAACTTTTTTGTAACATTTTGATTACTAGAGACGGCAACTCACAATCAACTAAATGATTTTGAACAGACTCAAAATATTAAAGTGTAAGCTTTCTGGCACATCGTATAGGCGGAGCTAGAGTGAATGTATAAAGTGTAATGCTAATGTACCAATCAATGTACTATGCAGTTCTTATATTGCTGTCCATACTAATTCATGATTTGCAAATTACTCACTTTGCCCTATTTGGGTTGTTATAACTGATATAAGTACGGAAGTCAAAATTTTGAATTCCCTGGGCAGTGGTGTACATTTATGGCAGCCATGGCTCGTTTAAATAGCGCGCACAGAAGGCGAAATTTTCGACCGTAAAATATTTCAATGAAATAAATTCAACTTGGGAAATAATTGAAATTCATGTTTTTACCTAAATATTAACGTACAGCAATTGTCGGTCAACGACTAAGGGGCTCATTTTCGAACTTTTCCATGGGCGCCATTTTACGTAGATACGCCACTGATCAAAAATTATACAAAATCATAAGCGGTGAAAAGTAGCTAACATTTTGATTTCCTATGAAACTTGATATTTGTAAATGTAAATCAATATAAATGCCGTTAATGCATTTTTTCATTCAATTGCAAAGTTAATTATAATTATCGCAGCCTGCGACGCGCTCCACCTTGGGTGCAGGGTATCCTTTACTACAGAAATTCATCACATTTATCTATGATGGAAAATTCAATTTGAGGGATTCGGCCAGCTGATAAGGAGAGAAAAATGAAAATACCAGACTGGTGCGGCCTTGGACTTGGCAAAGAAATGGGGGTAAAACAGTCAAGTTAGTCGATGCCCCATTACATTCGCGCATAATTTATGAGAAAATACCGCAAACTTTTCGATTGTACAATTGAACTCTGTAAACATTTCACGAGAAGATTACAATCACCATCATCCGTCAATGACCTTCAATGCTGAGAATATACAGTGGATTGATTGTTAACAAATAATTTAGTGTATAACATGATGGAATGTTTAAAAGGGGAATAAAGTAACGATTAAATTGTCATTAATTGATCGAGGAAGAATTTCTAATTTTTCTTTACTTGCTTTACTTGGCTTTATCCTGTGGTATACTTTTATATATATATATAGTGTTTTTCGAGGGAAAAATATCGCTGATACAGTTCATGGAAGTCGAAGTACACAAGCTTGAGTTTTTTGATTTTTCTTGTCACTGTCTTTTAATGTCTTAATTATCTGAAAAAGTAAGAAAATTGAAAACCGATACCTTTATATCGAACTTTACGTTTCCCGATTCAATTATATTTAATTGGTTCGCAATACTACAAAACATTCCATGTTTAGACTATAGATTTCAAAATTTCAAAACATAATATGCTACCTACTAATTTGTACAATAAAAATATTGGGAGATAATTTAACCCTGGATTTAATCTATGTGTATCTGAAAGATTCATTTTTCCTACCCGACCACGATCATTGTCAAATGAGTAGTCGGTTTATGCAAATAAGCGACTGCGTATGGCATTTCGTTCTTGTCAAGGAACTGCCTATATTGTGTTCACCTTTACTTACATCAATGAAAAAAAAAATTGTAAAATGACTTGCATTTTGCGATATTTCACTCATGTTCCCGGTAAAAAAAATTCTGACAAATTGTGTTTTTTTAATCAGCTTTAGATAGATTGCACACAAGTTTTAGCATACTCGCTTGGTGTATATGTGAAATACAATATGCGTTTTTGACTTTCCTGCAGTATCGATTGAAGCGAGGGTGAATTAGATGCGATAGATGTCATGACAAAACCTGCACAGTTTTTAAGATTAGATGTAATCTGTGGCTGTATGCAAATTTTTATATCAAATCGATTTTAAAATGATATAGTCGATTTGGAGATTCATTCTGTTACATATATATTCATATTTAAAATCTATTCAATCCCGATTCAGTTTTCGCGAAATGACAAAATGTCGCCTCGTGCGTCAGATTAAAGCCGCATTAAAGGAAATTATACTTTGAAAATATACCTAGTGTTTTATCATCTATTGATGTCGAAATGCCATAATGTTTTTGTTTTTAATATGGGTATTAAACGAGCAATGAGAATGTTCAATTTGCTATCATAGTGGTGGGTTGGATGCTATTCATTCCAAATACCTCCGTTTTGTTCGGGTACAACAAAAAGTGTTCCCATCGGCAAGCCTGAGTTAATTTATAGATAATGTACAGCATTTTCAAAAACATATAACCCGCTTATTCCTAAATGGAGAAAGATTTGAATCAAGGAAGGTTTTTTGAAAACTATATTCCACCGGTTATCCACCAATATTACCAATAATATTTAAAAACTTGGTAAGCTAACTAAGCAATAATTTAAGGCGCAATGTCCCAGAACAATAATTATATACCTTCCGTTGAAATGCAGAAACAAAATATATACATGCAGTAATTCTTATCCCCGAAAGCTGTTTTGGCGATAGAATTCATGCTTTAAGTTTAAAGAAATTTTGAATGAAGACTGTGTTAAATTCAAACGGTAAAGCAAGTTATGAACATTTTTTTTATTTGTTATTTTAATATGAATAAATGCTTTCCAACAACTCGTTTTGAATCTTCAACCAACCATACATAAACCACATGAGCTTTTTTCTTGGTTGACCACATAACCACTTTTTGTTTGTTTTTAACAAAAGAATTCGAGAATATTATTGTATTTTTCATAATGCCTCCTATTGTTAATGACTCATTTTTAAATTTTCTTGTCTCGTTCGCAACCGTATAATTTAACCACATAAGCTTATCTGTGTGTTTCAAGTCCCAAATCGCCTTCTCGACATCTGGCGCTCTATTCGTAAGACTCTGTGGCCAACCTCCGACTTTAAAATAAATAGACTTGAATTAGCCTTGAAATTGCCACCCTTTATCAAACCTCGCATATGTGTTGTGGGGTAACATATGGCGTTGAAGTGATGGGTCGATTTTCTTTCAAAAGTCGACTAAAATTTTGACGTCATCATAAATACACAAGTTCACGTGAGGTCAAGTCTTTAGGGAAATCAGTAACCCTTTAATGTTCTATTTTAGAACGTTTGTACTGAAATTTCGCAACTGTGAAAGTTTTTTAAGAATTCTCAAACAACGTAAATAACGTATTTAAATAAGCACTGGTGTTATTATGTTATTGGTTTAGCAGGTAACTTTCCAATTTGACATAATTAACAAATTGATTCAACAACTGCCCGAAAAGATCTTTATACATAGTAGAGTACAACTGACCATCACGATAAATCAAAACATGGTGGCAAGTTTTATAACAACATCCCTCTTTTGTAAATACTAAATCAAATCTAGTTGTAATCATCACAAATTTGCTCGAAATAAGCTTATTAAGCGTGAATGTTTTTGACCAGCCTCAAATATTATTGGCCTTATTGGCCTCTGATAAGCTTTGGAGAAAAACAATGTTAAATGCGTTGGCATATAATCGTCATGAGTGTCGAAAAAACAAACAAGAGATTAGAGGCTAAACCACCTTAGAATGTATCAAAGTATATAATGGATGTTTCCTCGATTATCGAATTCCGTGTTTACTTCCATAACATTAACTGATCAGCATAGTGTCAAAAGTTACCTAACAACAGAAATTTTCACATTGTTATTGCCAGCAATTAGTTTTAGTCGTGTTCTCAAAATGCTGAATGACTGAATCGTCTTTTAACGCGAGTTTAGTTGCAATATTCAAAGTCTGTGAGAGACTAGGCCAAAACTAACTATTCAATTTGAAGTTGTTAAATACTTTGAATCAAAATGATGAATCAACATGCGAAGTAGTTTGTAACGCCAACTCGCGAAAGCGCTCCTAAATCAGAATATTATTTTTACTATGGTAAAGTGTAGGAAGAATTTTCCTGGGGTCAAAGGTTCTGTAAACATCCATTCATTGGTGCGTCTTATACAACCACGTGGTTACTAGTAAAGAATATAATATTGTTTGGGACAACGGCACGACAGATTTCGTAGAAGTCCCAGACTTTCAGGATCATATATGATTGAAAGTATGTCGGGAAAAGAGTAAAAAATAAATAATTTAGTCATAATCCTTTACATGCGCCTGTTGTCTGGAAACTATGCATTATAGGTTTTCGGAAATTATTACCATCAACTTAAACATACGTTTATTACTCAAGTACCTGGTGGCACATTATATAAATTTGATATAGTCATCGGTATTCAAGCTAAAAAATTTTCATGCTAAATTTAGAAATACACGTCACCGGAAAATAACCCCAAGAACTCATCACTTTCGAAAAACATTTGTTAGTGCAAAAGACAATTTGATGAGATTTACTTCAACGTGTTGTTATGCAATTATTCAACTAATTCCGTCATGAATAAACCATTACAATGCCATGCAATTTTCTCAGTTCCAAATTGACAATTTTATCGATCGGTTTAGTGCCGTTCGTGCTTTTTGTTTTGCTAGAAACTGACGGTTGATAATACAAGGCTACACGTTGGGAATCGTTTGTTTGAACACGATTCAAGCTCGATTTAAGCATGAATTAGCAGTTCACAGCAAATGAACAGATCTGCGGTTTGCGTCCTAGAGGGGTAGACGCCGAAATTGCGTCTGATAAAAAACTGAATAGCGCATTATCGATTTGTTGTTAGTCTTCCTAGTCTCTCAACTCAGAAAAGAACGAGCATTTGAATTTACACTTTCACACTATTCTCACTATGTCAATTTGTAAGAAAACAACATAAAAGTTTTATCACTTACGGTATATAATTACGTTAGTGTATCTCTTAAAGTCCACTGTTGCCCGGTAAACATCTCCAGTGTGCTTGGCCGTAAGGTATTGTCTGAAAAAGTGCTTATTTAAAATATTTAAATTACATAATCTTCCGTGTGTTTTTGGCACGAGATCTCAAGAACCTAACTGGCATTTTAGTCTTCCAAATGTATTGTTAATAGTGGTTTACGTCAACAAAAAATACAGTATGCCCTACTCTAGGTGTCAGTCGTAACTATAGCCCTCCAACAAGTCTAAAAGTATTGGCCTAAACCTAATATTTAGCCCAATACTGACTTTAACTAACTAACGAATAAATTATCTATTTATTAAATCCACTTCAGACTGTTTGAGAGATTTGGCAAGTTATTTTCAGTTGAAAACAAATTGGATCGGACAGCGCATCGTGTTTCTTAATTCGTTCCACCATGGGTCACTTCTTGTTCTATTAACATCAGTTTTAATCAAGTAGGGCAGAAGATGATGAAAGCTTCTTAGACTCAGTTAATCTATGGACTGTGTTATCTGGTATATATGCATGCAAATCCGTTTTTAGTCGGACTGAATGGACTATTCAATAATTTAGTAGCTTGGTCCATTACACGAATTTTCTAATCGAGACTAAAAGCGTGAAATGGGTCGAAAAGTCGAACACCATAAATTTTTACATTGTGGTCAAAACAACAAAAATGTAAACGTAAGTTCATTGTTGAAAAAAATTTGAAATCCCCTAACTGTCATAATGGTTTTAAAAATATATTATATACTGTTTGGTAGGCTCCAATTACCTACGGGGATATGGAGAACCGTGTCTAAGCAACTTAACTATACTTAAAATTTCATCACTGGTGAGTTACCTTTGTTAATTTCACATGTGAAATACCCACTGCCAAATTAATTTATTTTACCAACTTGAAGGTAACATGTTTCTATTTACTCGTATGTTACCATAGTTCACACACCTGGACGGTAAAGAGAAAGGTGAAATGGGGATTTTTTTTATTACTACCCACACACTTTAAATATACCAACATAATAATGAATGCCATTGAAAGTCATTGAAAGAATGTAACACTCTTGAATCATCTGAATTAGTCATGTTTATTCATTGTATAGCAATATTGTATTATACTCACACGATTTCACCATTACAGAATCATCGAAAAAAATAGGGATTTTCGCAGAGTCCATATCAACAGCACAGAGGAATAAATAATTAGGGCATAGAGGGCACTCACGTATCGTGACCTTCGAAAAGTATTCCAGTTTGTCATTATGCTGACATACTTATACGACGCGTCATTAAACTTTATTGTTGTATTAAATAACACAGAAGTTCTTATCCTGTAGAGCAGGGGTCACCAAACTACACCAAATTCATGACAGCAACGTTTTAATAACAGCTAAACTCAGGATAGTTGTCTAGATATAGAAATCTTGTATATTTGTTTTCCTGGGATGTTCTCGATCTTTATTCTGCGATATAGATAGAATTTAATATTCAAGTCCTCAGAAATGTAAAATATATATTGTTGAATGAATTGAATGGATTTCCCAACTTTTGTGAATTTATTGTATTGCATTGACAAAAATATTCATCCGGCCCGTTTCAACACAGTTTGAGTCATACCCGGCCCGCGGTATAATAAACGATGGATTATCAGCTATGCTGTAAACTAATAGAATCAGATGTAAATATAGTTCTTATGATTCAGAATAAATAAAGACTTTCGGGACAGATGGCATTAAAATACATGTTGAGGCAAATGTCAGAAGTCGTTTGAAGAAGTTTTAAATGCTGTAAAGTACCTAAATAATCAATAAAAATTCAATGTTATAGATAGGTGCTGCCTACATGAACTTTCCCGTCTGTTGCCCGTTAACATTATTCATTAAAGTTTGGCATTTACAAGGAGACAAATTACGCTAATATGGAGTATCAGATAATTACTTTTAAACACAATCGAAAGATATAAAAATTTCATGAGTTGTTTTATCTATTCTCTGCCAATCTCTAATGTCGTAATCATTCTTTGTCTGGTGAAGTCGCTTCAAATCAGGTTCATCAAAAATGCATCACATTGCTCAAGACTGTTCAATTCCAGTTGAGATGTTGTTCAATATAGTTTGATAAGACAGATATAAAATCTCATATACAAATAATCTGATGTGCTGCAATACCTTTATTTTGTCAAAGCTGACATAAACCATGAGTTATTACAAATAAGTTGCCTTTAGAAATGTACATTTTTGAAAAACTTACGCAGTTAGATACTTTGATAGGATATTTTTGTCTCAATTAAATTATCAGAACATTCATAGTTACATATTTCGAGACAATTTGATTGGTATATAATTTTTATAACTCGGGATTATGATGGAAAAAAGCGAAAAACTACTTTGGTGGCTCTCAACTAAAATTAGATATGCATAAGAATATTCTTTTATTGTTATCATTTTATTTTTTCAGGAAAGTCTGCAGATTTTGTGAATCTATCGATCAAGAATGGAGGAATAAAACTTGTGGTAAATCTTGGATCCGGCGCTTTCGTTGTTCTACTGAAACCCACAGTCGGATCATTTAACGATGATAAATGGCATTTCCTGGAAGTTTATCGTGAACTCAAGCGAGTAAGTTAATATAAAAAACACTCATTCCATCAGAATAAGGTATATTAAGTTAAGAGAACTCTAAAATTTAAGATAGATTGATGGGGGTGCGATAAAGGAAAATAAGAAAAAAATGAATGTACAAAAGAATAAAAATTTTATTTTAGAATAATTTTTGGCAGAATATTATTTTACAGTCTCGTCACCAATTCTGAATCAAAAGTGTGGTTCAGTAAAGTTTAATTTAAAAACAGTAAATTTTGCTTTCAATTATTCATAGACTTCACGTGGACTGACTTTTAGAAGCCGTTCCAATTCTTTTATAAAATCCTAAAATCTTCATTCCAATTCTGAATTTATCTTCAACTGCTTTCAGTGTTTTTGTAAATACGATTCATGAACTTTCTATGAGAGAATAAGAGAAATAGAGATAATAAGAGAGATCTTTCCTTTGCCTATTCTTTTTGAAACTAGTAAGATAGTATGTATTTTTGGGAAGTCACAAAACTTTTTTAACTTGTTGTTTTGTTTTCTTATTTGCTATACGTTACGGCTCGTTTAGCCGAAGACTAATGGTCGTCGCGAGGGTGCTTCGGTAACGTCACCAAACACGTCATCAGTCATGAAATCATCACCACCTTTTACGTCCACGTCATTGTTTCCCATCTTACCATCAGTTTGTCTATCGGTATTGTTATTGTCCTTCCTTGTCCTGTGTTCATTTTGTTATACATTGCTGTAGAAATTTTTATCGAAAAAAAAAAATTTGGCTAATTTTAAAAACTTTGGCAAAAAACTGTAAATACCTCATTACATTGTGTTTTATAAAATTCAAACCCATGTATGTTTGTTGTGACGTCATATCCGGTGTGTGAATGTTTAATACGTGTACAAACAGGGCTGGTTGCTGTTGCTATTTTCACTCTTTCGCTTTTTTATTTTCTTTCAATCAATATTATATGAAGTAAATATACAACTGAGCCAACATTTGATGAAAAGTAATCAAGATATATTTCTATAGAAAAACAAACTATACACTCATTAATGTTGCCCTTTATTACATTCTCCCACAATTTGTTTGTCTAAAGACTCGAGACTCTTATGAAAATATACATGGTATGAAAAACGAAACTTCATTTTTATTATAAATTATTCCCAAACAAAATTGCTAATATAACAATGACTGACTTCTGAGTAATTTAATAATATATACATGATTGTTTCATGAGGGAGAAACTCACTAATACTGAATTCAGTTTGTAACGTCGAACTGGAATGATTCCTGTCCTAACGTTAAAGTTGTCTAAGGATGTCCGTCTGACAAATTGTACGAATACGTTATAAGTACTTTTTACCCAAAAGTAGAAATGTATTTACTATTGAAACCGCCCATTTAACACAGACCCATTTGTCTTGTTTCGCTTTTCTCTATAATGAATTAATCATGAACTTTTACGAGAATTCAATTTCGAATGACATTACCCTCTGAATGAACTTGGCTGTAGGTGAAGCACGTGATGCCTAAAATAAGTCGAAAAATCTTCAAAATACAATAAAAGCGCATCTCTGTGTCACTTCACTAACATTTTAGTTTAAATTGACTATTTTTCTATTTTATCGTGTAAGTATTAATTTCAAGTTTTTTCAATAGCGAAAATAGTATTAGCGAATAATTCTTTTAAATTCCTGAATCACAACAATTTTCTGCTAATTGCTAAGCCTTTGTGCAGCAGTGCATACCAAATTCAATAAAAATGTCAAGCCCGGATCAGTGTCAGGTTCTGGCATTTTTGGTTCTGCAACAGGTTCTTGGTAGCTGAACTTTATCAAAGTCATGTCGAAATACGTCGTAACGGATTAAAACTCAGTCAATTAACGGAAATTTATTATCAAGATAATTTTATTTAACACTTCAAACGAAGCATACAAGATTTAAAGCACCATCAGGCCTACGCTATCATACTCCTTTCACTGCGGACGTGGGTATATTATGTTTGATGCAGCGATGAAGAACACATTATCCTTTCAACTCTTATGTCGAAATAATATTGATTGAAGGTCATCTTGAAACGAAGATACAAGGTTGCGGTTCACTCGGTTCAATCTAAAAACGTAAAAGTGAAATCCGTTAATGTCGACGTTTGACGAGTGTCATCTTTGGATGTTCTTACATTCTAGACTGACTGATCATATTAAGAACATACTTTAGCTTGGCCAACATGGACACGACATGCAGTAACAAACAATCTAAACATCCTTGTATTAGCCTGTGAAATTGAGGATATCTCTTTGTTCATATTTGGAATAAAGAAGAATTTGGCTTTTCCTACTCTAATTAAAGTCTTCAAAGACTACGAAGGGTAGATCTACAATACCTTGATACTGACTTTCTCATTCAAAATCTATTTTTTTGCAAACAACAGATAGAGAGGAGTTCGGATTCAAGATGCTTTAGTAAATAACGCACCAATCATCGGCAAAATGCTAATAGAACAAAACCCTTAGTTTTAGGTGACCGTAAAATTGTGTTTAATAATTAAATTATCACATTTTAGAAGACATTCAAATTACCCGACAGTGTCTTTGACGAATATCTATTCTGGGTAAAATTTAACGCGTTGACGTTTGCGTCACTACGTAACGGAAATGTTATTGGCTTACGTCAATGGTTTATTTCACTCAATCTACGCTAATTTTGGGAATTTATATTCTATTATATGCTACGCTCGCAGGATGAAGAATGTTTCTTCGTTAGTGGAGTGATTGAAAATTTATCTAACCTGGGAACAACAGACGTTACCAGTTTTCTGATTATAATATAACAAATTATGGAAATTTATGTTTGTTCCCATACTGATTTGAGGCGAAATTGTTCGTTAGTCAGGTCATCTAGTTTGCCTCAGTGAGTCTTTTTCTACTCCGATTCAGTAATAAAATAAAACCAACTTAATATTCTTATTTTTGAAACATATTTAAATAACCAGCAACCCTAGAAATTTGACGCGCTTTGAACTCTTAAGTTGGTAAAAATTTATATTTACTATATTATTGAACAGATTTGCCTCAACCTTGATAAATAAAACATGCGATTTGATTTTCTGATTGCTCTCGATTTGATCCCATTCAAATTTCCGCAAAAATATTGAACGAAAGACGCAATTTTACGAAGCGCGACTGATTGAATTTGCAATTTTCTTGGCGTAACCGTAACGTCATTTCGGAAATTATTGAATCCTGCATTGAAATGTCTAATCGCGAAGCATTTCAATTGATTTGAAATTTTCCATCAAATTAATGATAAAAAGAATAGTGACAGTTAGCCATTCTTTAACATGATTTTTTAACAATGTTTCATGAATTATTTTATCGAAAACTCGTTAATAATATGATTATACGACCTGACTTAATTTATTTTTATTAAAATATAATAGCTACTTGATATCCTCTGACACGCTAGTCTTAACTTAGAGTGAATTTCTTTCTGCGACCTTGTATCAGACAGATATCGCGCAGAATATTCAATGCTTTTCGCAGTAATTTTGCACCTGGTTTGGAAATTTCATAATATATCACATTGTTGAATTGTTCATTATATAATTTTCTTACTCAGTAATCGTCCGACGTTATGTTGGTATTATACTTTTGATAGTGGAGATATATGACTGCTCCACAACGAAGTAATACTGGTTTCTTTCGCTGCTTCGTAGTCTATTTTTCATTCATGTTTGACATGTTCGCATGAGTCGATGTTTGAACCAAATTCCAAAATGATTTCAAAAATATCCTGGTGGCGTGTTTTGTGAAGAAGCAGTCTTGTAGCTAAAAAGATTTTTCTTCTAAAAAAACTTAGGCTGAAAAACTGCCAGTAGGCTTGAGAACTTTGAGAAAAAAGTTTAATTTCTTCTCCGTCATATCGTTTGCGTGGTAACAAACCATCTGGGGTCTTTTGAAGTAGACCAGCAGCGCCATCTAGCAGATATTGTATTATCATGCATGTACAAATTTATCACATATGTTCATGCGTAAAATCATTATATTAAGTTATTTTAATGTTGAAGTCATGCAATTTTATTTAACTTTCTCAAAATTTAATGTTTTTTCATATATCGAAATATCAATAACTTAATAACTGGATTTAACTACTAAATGGATATAATCATTGTATAGAAATTATTTTCTTCATTCAAGAATTAACGTTTCAAAAATACAGTTTACATTAAATTGAAAGATTATAAAGACTATTATTACAAAAAATATACATAATTTATTCTTATCCACCTCATTTATATTAGTATGGCAATATTAACTTATGCGTTAACTTCACAGGTTAACTTGACCGTCGATGATGCACACACGAACGCAGGGTTTACACAAAACGACTACACACAGCTCACTCTGAATGACATTTTCTACGTTGGTGGAAGCCCCTCTACCACTAATTTACCTGGATCACCAGAAACTAATAATTTTATCGGATGTTTAAAAGAGGTAGGCTGTGCACACCTATTTCATTATTCATTATTAAGTGACATAGAGTTCTGTGATTGGTGGCTTTAATGTATAAAATTACGCCAAAAATCAACTTAAAATTTACAATATTGCCCTAGAATAAGATACTCTGTAAATTAAAACAATAGAGCAAGGCTCAAATATCGAAATGCCGGGTGTAATATACGCTGTTTGATAAGCGTGAGATTGCTAGATTTATCTGCAGAAAAGTCATGTGGTGACCAAAATTTCTTAAAATTTCATACAACAATAGTGTCTGATCAAAGCTCTGCGGGAACAAAATAAAAATAAGGCGTTTTGGAAAACATCCGAATCTTCAACTAGGCCAACTACCGTTTTAAAAGAGTTAGTGGCTTGGTAGTCAAGAGAGGAACGTTTTTTTCGCAACAACAGCATGAACCGACAAACCTCAACAATTTAGTCGAACGATCCATGCATGTATTTTGTTGTAAAGAAGTTTATTTTATAAAAATTGTTGTCAAGACCTTTATTTGATCACTTATAAATCCAACCCTACTTGGACGTTAATAAAAAACCAATTGGCACCCAAGCATAGAATAGTTGTGGTTATCACGAACAGAAAAATAGCCTTATAATAATGTATTGACTGGAACTGAATTGATTATCTGTGGGCGATTGAAATGTTAGTTGCATAACAAATCCTTTTGATCGTACGTTCTAGTTTGTTGTGAGTAAAAGTATTTTATGTTTTCTGAAAATGTTTTATCACGGGGTGGCAATAAAGAGTTACGAATTATAAAAGATATTCTTGGTCGAATGGTTTAATTTTAATGGTTCTCCACTTAATTTATGGCACTGTGCCTCTCCAGGACGTATTATAAATGAGCGCAAAGAGGTATATTCAATACCAAATGGGTGTTAGATTTGATTGGCACTGCAGCCACGATTGAAGTGACCGTGAGCAATTATGAAAAACTTGCATTGCAATCATATTGGTCAAAGTGAATTTATATTCTCGTAGGTTAGTAGTTGCACGCCTTTGTGGGAAATACCTTTGTCTATAAATAGGCCTTTGTGATTTTTATTTTTTTGTCTTGTCAGCTTCATTGTTAAATGTCTACAAAAACAAGAAGTTGTTTTCTAATTAAAACTGAATTATTTAAAGGGGATATTCTTTGATCTTACTAGTTGAAGGATCTGTTGCATCAAGATTCTTTATTGAGTACACGTTTCCATTGTTAAAGAAGGATCGATATAGCTATATGCAAATGGATCATGCATGTTATAATACTATTGAAGTTTTCAAAGTTGAAACTCTCTTTCTCATCAACTCCCATTAATATTTTATAAAGATACGTTATTACCTCACTGACGAATACGCACGTGAACGGAATTTTATATGTTTTCAGACAAATATGTTTTGTGTCTTTCAAAATCGATCTGATTATTTGAATTTTTATTGAAATAATATATGGCTGGTATATATAACCAAAATTATCTAACCATTAGTTGATGGTTTTGCCGATACCAACATTTTTAAATTAATGTTGTCACTCAATAGAAAAATTTTGTTTTCATTCACAAATTTTCGTATTTTTTCCTATTCTCGTAATGAGATTAATTGAGTGATGCAAAATATAAAAAGATGGTTTGTACTAGTAAAGCTTACTTTTACCTTATTTTTCATATTTTTCTCATTTTGGTAAAATTATCACTCACTGAGCATTCACGAATCTTGTATGGATATGGATGATCGATAATAAGTTGATATTTTACTATATGTACGTTATTAATTATTAAAATGAAAAATGCAAGATATAAACTATCCCATCGGGACGTAGAAACGGAGTGAAATAGAGCTGCTGATACCACAGATTCTTGGGAAGAGATTCAGTAGTCGTAAGATTTTATCTAAAAAATAAATGGGCTCAATAGACTTGTTATAGTATGTAAAACTAGGCGGCTACAGAATATTTAATAAGTAGTATAAAAGTATTTTTTACCTGTTGTTTTCGTGATTTATTGCTGAATATCATTAATGTACTTAATTTACAAAATGCAGTTCATTGCTTTATGAGGAGTATACAACATTCGTGAGCAATGGATAATCCGTCTTGGAAATGTGGTAGAAAGATGATGACTTTTCTTTTATGATAAATTCCCTTTTTCGATTATTATATTTAGTAGAGATAAAGTATTTCAACGTTCATGGTAATGGGTAGAAAAATTCTCAAAATGTTTTTATATTTGTTGCCACATAAAAAATAGTGAAAACATTTTACATATTGAGACGAAACTATAGTCTCCCATTAAAACAATATTTCAATTTAAATAATAATTAGATGATTCGGTAATGAACTATAGTTTATATAGAAAGAAAAAGTAATATCAAGCAAGATTATTTTCTGCTTATAATAAATATTATTTAAAAAATGTCTTCATATTCAGCTTACAATGCTTGACCCCATTTAGTGTTATTGCGTTGAGTTGATTATTGGTTCGCGTGGAAAATTATTGATATATCAGGACTCATAGAATTCTAAAACAGTTTATTGAAGATTTATGAATCCATTTACATATGACTAACCAAATTTATTCAATTAATCATAATGAAAATGATTATTGACGTGAAGTTTTTGCCGCTCTGGGCCACGTTCACCAAATCATTTAACAGTATGTAATATCAACATCAAAACATTATAGATAATTTAATTATTTTACAGTTTGCACCGTGAAGATAAACACTTGTAAATATTTTATCACAAGAGTCCATTAGTATGTCTATATGTAATCAGTAATATTGAATTGCCAGGAGATATGGAAAAGGCCAATTTTGGCTCAGATACTGGCTGCGAGGGGATTTTTGTTTTACAAATTTCTGTTTATGCTTTCAGTAACGTAGTAAGTGAGCTGGAGGGGTAGCGTAAAATGTAAACATATAATCAACTTTTTGAATAGAGAAATATGTAGATCAATGTTGAAGATGAGAAGAAGATAAGGGTGTAGTTTTGCAGATGGTAGACAAATCGCAAGGGAGAACGTTAGTGTTCTTTTAATACTTTCTCAGATATTTTTGATTAGATGTAAGATAAGGTAATAAAGTAACATGTTTCGTAAGATCATATGTTAAAATATATTGCCGTTATTTTATTTACTTTTTTACTTAAAAAAATGCGCAAACAAAGATAATGGCTTTCCTAGAAGTGAACAAGACTGAGCAAATATGGGAGTTTATTTCGAATAAAGTATTTCCGACACCTTCAATTTACCTGAAAAAGTAAATCAATATACAGCGTATTTGTCAAAGTATTGGAAAATCAATACTTCTCTGTAATAAGATACGAAATTAGCGTGAAATAAGTATTGGGCAGAACATATCAGAAATTTAGATGTAAGATGAAATCAGGAATATTTAAAATTTGAGAAATGAATTATTGACATAACTTTCAGACTACTGCCATACTCAAAAACCACAGTGAAAGTACCTATACAGTGCGTTGAAAGTAATCTTTTATTCAGTTAAGTGTAGACAAGAGTATTTTAGGCATATCTTAACTCAATTTTACTCAAATTATCAACCAACAGCAGTAAACTGTCGGCTCTTGGATCCGTGCACACAGTAGTTGAATGTGGCGCCCCAAGTAATTTTTGTTATCATCTAAATGTATTTCCGTTTTTTATAGCGATATGTTATGTAAAATAAATTATCGTTTCAAATATCTATATGAACAAAACTACGCGATCGATATCATGTAATAAGCACGTTTCCTTACATATGCCTTCCCAAGAGGATAAGTGTAATATGGATTTTCATTCTACATAGCTAGTTTAATATCATGGTGCTATGATTTTCATTTATATCTATGGCTTACAACAGTATCGATTATGGACGGTATTCAGATTTTTATATTCCCTGTTAGTTACAGCCCAGAATTTATTGGTACTTGAGTTAGAAGTTTCAAGAGAGACAAGCTAATATATATGAATAACTTAATAACTTGGTTGCTTTATCGAGTTAGAAAAAAGAGATTTATGAGACTTAAAATATAAATATAAGGACATGGGCATGTAATGTGAATTTTTTCAATAAACAGAATTTAGAGGTAATGTTCTGTGACAGGTTGGAATGGCGAATCACTTGTGGTATGAAGTCAGAGTAACATGAATAAAGTAATAGGTTACATATATATCACAGTTTCGCACACCCGGTATTCAATTCTGTGTTCAGTTCGGACTTTTTTGTATAAAAACTCTGAGCAGCTATAATTATTGGTTGCATTCTTGATTGTTTTACATGATGCTTCTAAATGTAATAGCTGGTACTGAAATAAATGATAGTATGATAAATAAACATGAGCATTATTAAGAATATAATATAGCATCATTTGAAAAATATTGTTGGGAAAACAGTAATCTGTTTAAGAAATTTTTCAGTGATACTCACAAAAATATTGATGCTCTAATTACCTGTACCAGCATTTGATCATGGATGAATAAAATAGAGTCGTTTAACGTCTCCGGATTCACATATATATATATGCATATATCTATATTACATGCGGTGCAAATAACATGGTACACTGTCGGCAAGGTTAATTGAAAAAAGCTCTTTACAAGAACTCTTGTCTCTTACTCTTTGTCTCTGACGTGAAAACGAAATTTCAACAGATAATGAGTTTCCTGTAAAATTCTGAAACATATCATTATCTACCTGGTAGAGCTCGAAATATTTACAAGAATATACATTACTCTGTCTAAAGTACCGTTTGTAATAAAACTTCAATTTAAAAATGATTCGTTAATTTTATTTTTGTAGAAGAATTAAAATAAAACATTCAATTTGTTTTGTGAATGTAGACATTTTATTTGATCAAAATGGCATTATCTACAAATTTATTTTTCTTGTACCAGAACATTATCGTTCCATCCATCGAATCAATATTTCAGTAGGAGCGAGGCATATGCACTCGTGAACTTTAGTCGTAATCCCATAGATCTAGTTTGTACCGGGAAACTCAGCAAAGTTTAAAAGCTGTGAAAAGTTTCTTAATATATAAGACAAAAAATTAGTCATTACGTGCTGACTTTTTGTTCCAATAATCAAGAATAATTAAAAATTGATGATTTGGAAAGGTTATGAAGAGTCAATTTAAAGAAAAAATATTATCACTTGTTGCATCAAAATTTCTTTACGCTATTGTTTCATTTGTTATGGTATGTGCACGAGTTCAGTGAATGATTTTGTTAACGTTATTCGTATTTTACAATAATGTTGTTTAAATAACCCTATCATTATCGTGAATCAGTTTTGTCAGTTCACTATGTTTCAGTTTAAATATTTTTAAATAATTTGCGTACCTACAGGGCATAGAAACAGCATGCATAATGAAGACATAGAAGCAGTGTTTGTAAATTGTCGTTACGAGAATAGCAGAAACCGATATATTTAACAAAGATGCCAGAATCTTGAAAAGTTTGAAAATTAATCGGGTATACATTATTAGCAGTATTAACTTATTCTATCTAGAATCTCCACAACAAAAGTCAGTCAGATTACAGAATTTACATATAGCGGTGTTCCATAAAGATTGATCCATCTTATTTTGTTCTCTTGACTAAGATGGTCTACTCCGATCACTGCTCCCCATCGAAATTTTGAAATTTGTTATGCAAACATGGTTAGGCCAGTGGGCGTCGAAATATAGCTTTAATTTATACGATGTGCTGAAAAAAAAAAGAATTCGCTTCAATCGATCGCGCTAAAAGCCATTAACTCCTACTGGTAAAATAATGCCGTATTTTTAGAGCGAGATTGGCGTCATTTACGGTTATGTCGCATTTGTTTTACTTAGGATTCCAGAAAAGACGTAGAAATGTCAATTTTAAATTTTTTCACATCACGTCGGCTTAGCATTGCCAGGCCATGGGATATTAAATGATTATAACGTGCATACAAATATGATGAAATATATAAGTATATGTTAAAAATTTGGAAAAGTTTTAGTGTAGAGTTTGGTGTAATTTCGAATATGTACTTCAATTATTGTAGATCTTTCGACAGAGTGAATGCGGTGCGTAACAAATAATATTACACAAAACCTGATTCAGTTTGACTTGCATTTTACTATTTTTCAAAATCAATTCTATACGCAATCTACCAAAACAGAACTAAACTTTCATAAACTACCTCAAATAGAATCGGTAAACAGCAAATGTTTAGAATGAAATAGTTGATAATGGATCTTCACGAGCTAGTAATATTAGTTTCGTTTTTAATTTTGAGTCCCGTCAAAACACGCATGGATATACTGTTCCTGGAATGTACTGTTGATAGATATTCAATGACAAGCGGCCTCCATTAGAAATGTAATTTTAGCTTTTTCAGTGACGTGGCCAGGTTTTGAAAGTTTCTTGGTTGTATATCAAAAAGATGAAGAAATATTTGAGATGTCCGTCAGTATCTAAAGAATATTTCTGTATTTCCCCCTTTAATATATACAATCGCGTTGTTATCTACATGTAGCTAGCGAGGAAAAAACGACAGGACATCTCAAGAATGTCGAAAAAGAATAAATTATTCACGCAGCTTCTTGTAATAGAAAAAGAAAGAAAAATTATTATCCAGAATTATAAGTTTTTAGGGAAACTTTATGATTATACGCATTTCTATTTTTGTTCAGAGATACAGAGTTTACTTCGTGCTACTTCATTGTTGAAAAGCTACGCACATGATTAGATGTAAAACGAAATAGGTTTACGCAATAAATAAGTATTATATTTAATATAAATTTATACTTACTCATTCTTCGTATTGGAAATTATGAAAACACGGATTGGAATTATCTTTGTACTATTGACTGGAATATGTCAACCGATTTGTGTACCGGTAAGTAACTTGTCTTAATAAACCTGGAGTTTGATAAAACTCCCAACGTGCATTCTTTGTGGTTGTTCCTGCTGCATGTTATAAGTTACGGTTTTGTTAAACCCACAACTTATTTATATATCACCGGTTCTCGACCAGTGGGCCATGGCCCACTTCTGGGCCACAGAAATATTTTCAGGTGGGCCGCAAACCTATTGAAAAATTTGTTAAATTAGCGGTAAATTAGTTAAACTTGGATTGTAGTGAATGATGAATGATGATGCTGTATTTTCATACTGAGTGGTAATTTTCATTTTAATTATTAAAGGGTCTATCTTTGCAAAAATAATTTTTTGTTTTTATCATAGTTTTCCCCTTGCATTAGAAACTTAATGGTCCACAGAAATTTTTGTGCAACAAAAGGGGGCCACAAGCCCACAAAAGAAAAAAGAACCACCGTTCTATAAGATTCTTTTATATATATTTTTATATGTTTACCTGACATGATATAATTTCTATGTTGCAAGTTTGGGGATCAACTAATTTTGTTTGCATTCATAATTATTGACTATAAATGGCAAGATGCTAATTTTGTTTAACCTGTTTCAAAAATTTGGCGGGATACATGATGGAAGTCTTGATGGTAGTTTTGAAAGGACTTAAAGTTGCACTCGCTGTGTACCAATATGTACTGATCTTCACAACTGACATAACAGTCAATCAGTCAGTAGGTTATTTTTTCATCAAACGGCAAATAAAACATGTACCAACCATTTTTACGTTTGAAGCAAAACGTAAAAATGGCATTCCGGGGCGAAGGGATACGCAAAAAACCAATGCCGGTTATCGAGCAGCAACACCCGTGATTGAGCTAACATTGATACAGGAGAAATGAAAGATGTCGAACAATATAATTTTAAAAGTTTATATCAAATAAGTTAATTCGTTACATACAAAAATCAAAGATTAAAAAGACTCCAAACACAGCCAAGTACGGGTAGGGTGATATAACAATGGGTAACAGCATAGCAGCGACAAAGCAGTATGAAAACAGTCAGAAAAGAAGGGTGGTAAGAACGATGTTTTGATTGCTTTTGAGGGCGTGACAATCATCAAACAATTGTCATTAGCAATAAAAAAAACTATGGATTTGTATTTAATTAACCATTAATGCAAATTGACTATTCAAATGAATTTATCGTCACCCATGAATTGGTATTTATATATATCCAAACACTTTTGGTATTAATATTATGAACGTCTTAAAACCGATGTATTGAAACATTACTTTGTTTCAATACCAAGCTTCATGTTTACCAGAATTTACCAATTGTTTATCATAATGTATATTTTAGTATATATATATATAAAGTATGATTATATATCCTGAGTGATTACTGCAATCCAAAGCCAAATCGGCTCCCGATTATTCATCCAGTCCACTATGTTCAATAAACGTAATCTCCCAAGGGATTAAATATTGATTATCTTGTTTTTCCATATACTCCTCTTTCCCAGTAGAATATGCCATTACTATCACACACAATTTTAAAATTCCCTCTGGTTTGATCAGTTTCCAAAACTTGACAATTGAAATGAACTTGAAAATGTTTGTCCTCTCGAGTCATCACTGATATGCACGTAAAATAAATTGAATATTTGAAGTTTGTCGCAGTTATTATATATATATATAATATATGTCCGTGTATGTACGAATCGGTCAGCTATACTCAAAGTGGCCTGCATTGAATGTTGAAGAGTTGTCTAACTATAATAGTGTTTGAATAACCATATTTGTCTATGTTAAATAGCCGCTACTTGCAACACTATAGGGCTCAGCTTTTCATTTTGTGTGTCGCGTGTCACAAACTGGAGTTGAAACACTAGATATTATAGATCCATGACTTATAATATTTGTTTGTGTAATTATTTATGACTGTCATCGTCCTAAAAGTTTTAACTCAGAGTCACTAAATAAATGAGTACATATAAATGGGTTTGAATATCCGGTTTACAGTTGATGGATGCGAATGTACAAGTATAAATGTATACGCCAGGTATAACCTGGCATGAAGGTGATCCCACTGTTCCATATTCTCAAACGTATACAGTCGTCCATCATGATGACGACACTTTTTATTTGATATTCCTTTTTGTTTATACGTTTATCTATTAAATAAGAATAACGTTGCAACATTTATCTCCCAGCCAGGAAAGTTCATCGACAACGCTTACGTAATTTCACGAAAAAATTTACATCAAGTGATTGAATACATTATATTTTTTTAATTGTTTTTAAAGTCAATGAAAAGAGTATTTTGGGAAGTATATTTTATGAACTTTATTAATTCATTATTTACTTTTGGGTAATACACGGGAATATGACATTATAAAATGCTTTTATTTTACTGGGTATAAATGATATATTGATTTATTTCGACATTTTCGGAGTAAATCAGGTGTAAAATTATAATCTGATTTACACTGTTTTGCATCGGTAATTGTAGGATTTTGCAATATGTTATCGTACCTAGTGCTTTTGTCAAACAGAATACATACAAAGCTATAATAATTCATAAATTACTAGTTTTCAAGGAAAACTGGAAAATTCATATGACTGATCTGTATTTTTATGATTTTTTTAAACTAGCCATTTTAACCACCCATTGTGTCACTTGTAGCAGATCGGTTTATATCTGAAGTTTCCGTGGTAAACTTCCATATACCATTTTGAATTATGTTCTCAATTGTGCACCCTGTATTGATTACACCTATATCTGTATCTAACAATCTTTAGATTCTCAGTATAAACGCCCTTTTTCTTTGACGATTGGGCTTTTTCAGTTTCTTTTTCCTCCTTTTTATGGTCTTATCAAAACGTGGTCAACGGATAATTGTTTGAAACGTTTCTGTAAATGCCGCAATCATCAAATCGTTTTTTTGTTGTTTGTGATTTGTTATATAGCATATTATATTGCCATTTTCAGGTTACCTACAAGAATAACGACAACACCCTACAACTCTCTCGCATGGCAAAGTCACGTGATTCATTGATTACAGTTAAAGGCGGAGTCGAATTTCGTTGCACCAACATTGAAAGTTACGGTCCAGTGACATTCCGCACTTCCAAGTCATTTCTCAGACTGAAACCATGGAACAATCCTAGCGAGGGTGGATTAAAATTAGATTTCAGAACCACTGAGCCGGTAGGTTGAGATTCAAGCTATAAAGGGTTATTTTATTGAACGTTTTATCGTTGGTGAAAACCTAGTTGTTGCTGATGGCTCGCCTAATGCATGCCCTTTTAACACTAATGTCTACTACATTACGCTTTGACATAATGCTGCCTTTATCGACAAGTACGCAACATTTACGTCATTATTGGTCCTTTTTTGCTTCCTATTAGACAAATATTTTAAATATTTGAAATAGAATAAAGTAGAGGGAATAGCAAAGAAGAATTCCAAAAAGAGCTTCAAATATGATTGGCTCACATTTGCGTATAATCTGAAAACTCTTTTCTATCAATAAAATATTGCTTCACTCGGTGGTTGACTGTGAGTAGGGCTGGGCATTTCGAATCGAATATTCGAATCGAATCGAATAGTAAATTATTCGAATCGGTTGAGAGCAAATTTTCGAATCGCCGCCATCTTGTTTTACTCTTTCCGCCAATGGTGGAGGTAAATTTTTCAATTTTTTTGTCATTGAAGCCATAGTTTTTCAACACAATTCTGACATATGAAGCTTTTCTGTATTGAGGTATTGATGAAAACGTGTTTTTTTATTGTCAGGAATGTATTCTATGTTTCCAGTAATTTATGTCTGGAGGACCTAAAATAATAAGAAAGTTATGTACAATTTCATACTTTTCAAGTATTCGAGATTTGATTCGATTCGAAAAAATTATTCGATTCGATTCTGAAATCATCAGGTATTCGAAAATGCCCAGCCCTAACTGTGAGCCTTCATTTCTTTAATGTCCGTGCACCCATCAGAAAATACTTGTATTCCCAACAACTTCTGTTATGTATAAGTACTACCTCTTTAACTGCTTCTCTGAAGGTACTTATTAACACGTAGTGTCCACCATAACTCTATTCAGTTTATTCGCCCGTAACTTTTTTCTAAGATCAGACTCCTTCACTTCTGATTGAATGCGCGTGATGTTACATTGAGCAGATTTTCATCTATATAAAGTGGACTATATTCTTTTTAATCACTGTTTGGGCACGAGATAACATTTGGAATCATTGGTTAGGTAGCTGAAGTAAAAGGCGATTCTTTGTCCAACCAAAAACAACAATTCATAAAAAAATAATTCAAGTACATACGTCAAAATAATAATGTAGTGCTCTAAAATACATTGTATACTATTTTGAATAACATGGATACAGTGGATAAAGTACACAAATCATAAATATTCTCAGATCTAAATAACCTTTGCATATAATTTCAAACACGTACGTAAAATTACGAAGCAGCCATTATTGATGATTAGACGGTTGCAGGAATAATAAACCGGTATCCATTTAGAGCGAATGTAACTTATTAACATAGAATATTTTTGTATCGCAGCACGGTCTTCTTCTGTATGCAGCTGGTGGAACATCGCGAGATTTTATCGCACTAGAACTTTATCACGGATTTCTTTATCTGCTCATCAATCTTGGATCTGGATTGAGAAAGGTAATATATATATGTATGTAATGTATTTGGTAAATATACACATATGGCAGTGTTTCAAATATTATATATTAACATTTCTGGACACAGGAATGTATGTATAATAATGCTAATAATAATGAAAACAAACTGAACTTATTGTTATGATCAATATATGCAAATGGGTTTATTGATAGAATTTCACGAATCTAAATAATCAAATTATGCAATGTGAAAACACAGTGTTTTGTTTAAAGTATAAACAAAATGTAAGTATATCATCTGGCAGGTTGAGACATTTTTCATTTTTCACTTGCTAGGATTGATAGATATTTCTAATGTAGATGGAGTCCCAATTGCTGATGCCGACTAGTTGCGTCTTATGAATCGGCGGCACAGCATACACTTAATGTATCTCACCCAATACAATAGATCAGTACTTTTTGCCTGTGTTAGATAAAATAAGCACAAAAACCAGTACTGTAGTAAAGTTTAAATATGCTATAATATGTTTATAAGATAATAATATGGCTTCACAAACAAAGTAAAATACGCAAATCAAGAATTCATGAAATATTTATTAAATTTGAAACCTATAAACATGTTTCAATCACCACTCTCCAAAACATTTTGTATACTTTGAGTAATGCTTTCGATTTTCACACATACTTTGAGTCAGTGGTGTGATTCAGCCGGTTCGCACCGGTTCTATAGAATCGTCTCACAAAATTTTATGAGATCAGCGAACCGGTTAGCATTACTGGTTACTGTCAATGACTTTTTGACAGTGAGGCATTATAAGACTCGACGTCGCCATCTAGCGACTACTGCGCATTAAACGCTGTTGTCTCTATTTGCAGGCGAGACACAGCTACGAACGACCATTGAATGACGGTGCTTGGCATTCGATAAGTCTGAAGAGAGACAGAAAACAATTGATGCTGAACGTGGATGATGAAAATGAAACGAGAATGGTACTTAGTGTAAGTTAGTTGAATAAGTCCCGCGTGGCAGCATGCTGAAACCAGGCTGTATATGAAAACTATATATACAGAGCATATATAAGAGCATGCAAGACGGTAAATTTTGAGTTTTAATTAACTATATGTTTGTTAAATGTAAACTAGCTTTGTTGTTCAACTAAATAAACCTAAACGGCTCTTGTTTCACAATCACATATTTCTATTTGGACACGTTTTTTGGTATACACATCGTTTTCATAGCTAATGTGATAAATATGATTCACCATGAACTCTGAACAAAAGAGTGTTTCGTGTATTCAATATCGATGTAGTATTAATGAGATAACTTGAATGCATGCAAGATATATAAATCAACATTTGAAAGCTACCTCCTTTCGATCCAGTAATTATATCCGTCCTCGCTTCTGTCGCCCCATTGCAAGGATAATATCAGTGCTATTTTATGGTGTAAGATGCATGTCAAAAAAGCCATTTGTGCGTACATGTCGCGGATTTGAATCTAATTTTACAGACCGTTCTGTATCTAATGTTCTAAGTGAAAGCTTAGGCAATTGATGTGAACCCAATTTAACTAATTGTTTGGATATGAGAATACAATCAATTTAATCTGATTAATATTATATTTGTTCATAGGGCGGAAATACGGATCTAAACGTAAACAGTTTATTTCTTGGTGGAGCTGATTTTGAAGCCATTTCAAAGTCTAGGAATATTCCCAAAGGCTTATGGACAGCATCGTTACGCTACGGCTTTGTCGGATGCGTAAGAAACGTATACATGGACGGAATTGGAGTCGACGTTTACGTGAGTCATTAATCATTATGTCCACCATTTTATTCATTTTCTATGTTTTGAGTTCTCTATATTAAAACATCAAAACTAAAAAAAAAACGAATGAATGAAGTATTATTCGTAATATTATTCGTTATTGTGATTTTAATAAGACTAACAACTCCCCAGCTATTTATCCGCACGTGGGCGATATTAGCACGATCCATATTGGAGATATTATCTTAACTATATTCTTTCCATTTTTCTTCCAATGCTCTTGGAGATAATGTTTCTGCTTTGAAAACATTGCTTCATCTACTGCAATTTATTTTGCCCAAATTATCTTTTTTGGGAAATCTAGTTATTCAAGACAAAATTTTGGCAAATTGTTGAAGCGTATTATGAAATTTATTTTTCCGCCTCCTGTTTGAAATTGTATTCTTATTTTATTTCCATAAAAATAGGGATTCAGGAACCTCGCTGTCTACTGTCATAAATATATTTTTATAACGTTTTTATCTAAAAGATCATAATTACAACGACATTGCAGTAAATTTTATACACAGTGATTCAAATGACGTGTTTCACAATAACACAAATATATTTCTGTAACGGGCCAGACAAAAGTTATAAGAAACAGAATTATATTTATGTTAGTGTGCGACAAGAATTACATGAATCACTCAGAATATGCATATCCAGTCTTGCTACACAGCTACAGTATCTTTGCATTATACGTATACGCACCACCAGTGATAGGAAGAAGGATCAAATCAAAAATGGAAAATTTTTAGGTTTTGTGATAGTTTGTGTCACATGATTTGTAGGTTTTTATATTAGAAGAATATTCTTTAAAGTGACGTTTTTTTCATATTCAAAGCTGAATAATAAATAATATATAACTTTCACCGCGGTTTTACTCCCCCGAGTCTTGTCCATTCGCGCTGATAAAATGTTGGGCAATTCACTGTTTCAAAAAGTTGAGGAATACGAAGGTGATGAATAATAAATGATGTGTAGATCTCTGCAAGTACTATGCCAAATAATGTAGAAAAATATTATGTATGTAATTTTTCATATTTTTGAAAAAGAGAGAGAGAAAGTATATACGTGCATTCGATTGACACAACAAGATTTGACAGGCTTTAGTCGTACTTTTCACGAATTGGGATCAAGTGGTGTGGATTTGAATGTAATATAGTAGAAGATTATTTGCAGTTTTATGGGGGGGGGGGGGTTGAAAAATGACTCGGATTTAAAGTTTGCGGTGAAATCAACTACAGTTTGAAATCGTTAGATTTCATATTCCTATCCTCTAAACTTATGGGAGTTTAGAGTTTCGCAGTTTTTATATTTTTTATATGGTGTGGTCTTATTAACCCTTATGTCATGATTGAAACTTTGGGCCAAATAAATACGTAATATCTAATGCGCTGGTAGATCAATTGTCAGACACATATTATCTACTTATATCTTCAGACAGTAAAGGAATATCTAGGCTGGATGATAGACTTTTCGTTGAGATGAATTTGAATTAAATTAAAGGCGTGTAAAACTAATGATGAAGAAGGTATGAAATAATCCTTGGGTTTCTAATGAACAATATTAAAAATTTAGAAAAAATAACGCAGGCGAGTACTTGATGCAAAATAGTTAATTTCTTATTTGTGCATATTCAGACAGAATAAGAGACAGGAGTAACCACAGGGGAATCAACGAAAATCAATAGTCCAATAAATTTCACATTTTCTCAACAACAAAAAAAGAAGAATCCGCGGCAATCAAACTACGACAATAAATCACTCAAGTATAGATTAGCTATAGACTTCCTATAAATTCCCATAGACTAGCTCTGGATTGTTGTGGTTTGCACGTAGTTATTGGAGTAGTATTAGAATCATTACTAGGATATATAAGATTAGTGTATGCCACCACGAGAAGTTTAATGAAAGAATGAATTCTTACGGTCGAAGATTGGAAGTGGGCTATGGTACCTGACAATAGAAATATAGAATTTATCTCTGACAGCGTTCGTGATATGCTCTAAAACTGGCCAAATGTTTGAGAAATGTATAGTTGAATCCATTTTGTGGAATTCCATCGGTTTATCAAGCGGATCTATATATTTCTCAGATTTATCCACATTCAATCATTCGACTCCAAGAAACGAGAAACAATAAATAGCTTGGCGTGTTTATAACCCAAAATTATATATACCTTAACTAAAGACGCTGAATGTAATGTGACTTAGTTTCCAGTTCTGATTCCGCCATAAAAATATCTAAATACAATACTTTAAAGTACTCAAGACATTATTTACTTTTGCGTTGTCTGTTTTAATACCACTAATACCTTGTATGATTACGTTTTTCAAAGTGGCGGAATAAGATCCGAGCATAGGCCCTTCGAAAGTGTAATACACATAATTTTGCGATCGACATGTAATTCGCCCAATTATCGACATTTTATGTCAATATCTGTCTGAACCGAACTTCAATATTCTATCGACTTGATCTGGTTTTTCCTAATTATAATATTTCCAATGACGAGGTTTGCGCATTAGAATGATCAATTTTTTTAAGTCTAACTGACATTAACTAATGAAGTTAGATCCCAAAAGAGTGTTATTGGCGCCATAAGTCTATTTTTGGACGGATAAAAAGTTATTATACATTAAGAAAGTTTCTTTCTCGGGGTAATAAAATGAAAATCGTTTGGACTGGATAAGACTCTTCACTTTCATTTCTATTTGAAAGAACGTTGAGTTGAATTATTACTGATTAGAGCTCTCTTGTGCTATCGGATCTGCTGGGAAAATAGAAGTAGCCTATGCTGTTTACTACAACGTTGAACAGTTAACCTTTTATTTAGTTGTACAAGTACCTAGTTTTAGTTTGTAGAGGTAGTATTTAAATCCGTCTTCCATTTATATATATAAATAGTTATACTCTATATAAGAATGTTATCAAAGTGGAAGCGTAATATTCGTTGATGTTAAAATCTAGAAATTGAGTAGATTTTTATGTCAGATTTCATACTTGGGGTCATACAGATTGTGTATATTTTCTATTCGGCATTAGTTTAGCTGAATTTGATCACAATATTCGTGCATTATAAATTTAAAAATATATTAATCAAAACAGAGAGAGGTTCATCGCAGGGCTAGAGTTATCATTTTCTTCAGTATTCTAGTTTTTCATAAATTAAATTTATTTCCAGTTCCGATTGCTTCGTTGATTGATTTTCGCTCTCACTTTTAATCTCTTAATTCCTAATTTGTGTTTCGGCTATGTCCCTTTGCGCATAAATTTGCGCAATGAATATTCTTATATGTGTAAATATTATATAACTGTTAACAAGTTAGCCAAAAGAAATGAGGACTGAGATATAAATCAACTAATACCTAACATTTTCGCCAACGCCCAATCCCCCAATCACAATATTCAACAGCAGGAAAGGTCATCGAAATATACTCTGCGGGACTGTTTTTCGTAAGGGATTATGAAGCTATATCACGACAGATCAGAAATGAAATTTAAAAAATCGATCGGATAAAATTTAATGCAAGGTTCTAGGTTTGAGATTTAAATTTGAATTCACCATTGGGTATGGACGAATAGTCAACAATTTAAATTTAGATTAAATTAGAGGCGGGCGAGAAAAAGTTAGTTTATTTTATTATAGGTTAGGCGGTATTTTCCGAGAAATTACTAATGTTTATAAAAATCAAGTAACCAATATGTAAATATGGAATATGCAAAATATTTGTTTTAGATATTTGTTGTACATTTATTTATAATACAAGTAAATTAAAAAAAAGGATTTATCATCGTCAAAATGTATTTACAAAGTCTATCAGCCGCCAAAAACTTTTCTATGCCTGTTGTAACGTTACTTTGTTTGCAATGTATGCATTTGCAAATCCCTAACGCCTGCCTATATTATTATGAGGTAAGATCTAAATATATATTGTAAAACTAACTATTGCTGTTAAGAAATTTGATATAAAAGTTGAATGAATTTAATTTTAATTCTAATATTTTATCATTAATTTCAAAAAAGTTTATTTTATACACCATATATAATTGCTTTGCATATTCATTATTGAATTATTGAAATTCGAAATTGAATTATGAAAATCTGATATCCATTTCTGTGTTCAAATAACAGTATCCCAACAATCTCTATATACAAATTAAGATTATTTCAATTATTTTAAGATGGAAAAAATCAAATCAAATTTAATCAAATGTGCCTAAAAATATATTTTTTTTTATGTGAATGGTATCGCAAAACAATAAAAGTTTTTATAATGGGTTACGCTTTTGCAGGATATGATTATGTCGAGCGGAAAAATATATTGTTGTTTAGTAAGTCGGCATAGTCTATATTGATATCAATAAATGTATTGTATGAATGTATTCCGACTAAAATATTTCAACGTCAGAATCGACAGTGATATAACAAAATAACTACGTTTAAAATTTTTGGTCATTATCACATTCTCTTAAGTATAAATAATTTTGATAAAAATATTTAAGACATCTGAAACTCGATTACTTGACATAACTATTGGGATAGAAGTGTACGAAAAGAACCGATATTTACGCAGCACTTATCGTCTTGAAAGTTATACATACACGACTTCGTAGACAACTAGAAACTGGGACATCGCGGTGTCCAAGTATAGATTTCATCTGTGTTTAAGTACAGTTGTAAATATCAATTTTTTTTTAATAAGCTTACCGTAACGATAACGAACTTTCATTCAACAATTTGACATGTTGAGTTTCTGATATCCCAATGAACAAATATAAATTTTTGGCCTTCTTGTATTGAATTAATATAATTATTAAATATACTCAGAAAATTGACTGACCTTCTTTATCGATGAGCTAAAGATCTTTGCCCTCTCGATATCTCAAACATGGGGTAACATTTTAAAGAAAAAATAACATCGGGGTAAAATGTGGTAAACTGTTTGTTTGTAAGTTAAATTGATTCAAAAATGTGTTATCCGATATGTCTCATAATTAGAGTTAAAAATTGTTATGTAACATGTGCTATATGCATTTTTACACAATATTATTATGAAATTGCTTATATTTTACATGCTTGGACAAGCTTGCTACTTATTTGATAGAATTAATACTTTACGTTCTTTAGGGAAATTTCGTTCAATGTTGCCAATTGAACCTCTACGAAAAAGGGATGAATTATTTAGTGTTCCGGAAAATAAACTTTTAATGCTTCATTCATATACATCTCGTCAACGTTTGTCGAGAAAATATCTTTACATAAATATATATATACACATGGATCAACCCGAGAAAGATTATCCTTTTCGGTTGAATATGCTAACGCACGTCTATGCAATATTATGTGTTAATTACAATTCCTTTGTATGGAAACAAATCTTTTTGTTGATGCGATTAAATTTGAAAGAAATACACTATTGGTTTTCTTTTCTAGATAATTGGTTTACTCTAATATTTGTGAATGGATTTTTTATAAAAGTACAGCTGTTCTACTTCAAACAACAAATCGTATAGATATAGACATAGATTTATTTAATTCTGACAAAGCTTTACTGACTTAAATGCGATAATACCAAAAATATTTATTGGTGAAGACTTGTATTGTGTTCTAAAAATGAACTTAATTAGAAAACTGTATTGAAATTACAAATCAAATAATCAAATATTTTTCCAGACTCTCGCCAAATCCAAAGTCAGAAATCCTTCAGAAATTGCTCCCGAGTGTGACAATCCAGGAAAGAGTACATGTACCAGCAATCCCTGTAGGAATGGTGGAAAATGTAGGGAAGGTTGGAACAGATTTGTCTGTGATTGTTCGGCAACATCATTCAACGGTCCAACATGCGAACTAAGTATGATTTATTTTGTTTTCATTAATTGATCTTTTAATATTTATGAAAGTAATTCTTGACATATTAGGAGGTACGCCTTCAGATGACATGACAACTCACTCAGAGATATTTTCTCCAATTATAATCCAGTAGGTACGTTACAAAGGCGTTATTACACACCTTTTATCCAACACGCAACATCAGCAGTAATTGCGTTGTCATGTTATTTCGATCGAGTATCGATTGAGATCTTTGAGACCGATTCTAGTTATTTAAAATTTTTTGTTGTAACTTGGGAACCGCGATTTAGCCGTATGTTTGTCAACCCATTGACGTGGGTACATACTACTTGCGGTACACTTGAACGAGTTTTTGATATCTGGTCTCCTACATACTAAATCTATGGCGCAAACGTCGATTGTGAAGTGCCACACATAAATTGTTCTAAATTGACATTTTGCATTCTGATGTCAATTATATACAAAACGGTAGAAAAACAAGAATTTCACATAATAGATAGTTCAAATTTGGCTTCATCACGGATGACTCTAATTTGAGTTCAAACTGTGACAATGCCTACTTTCGAGTACATAACACAAAAAATCGAAGGAAATATTAGTTGTCGACATTACTACCTACTCTCGGGACATCGCACGTGTAATATACCGCATAATATTTTGTTTTGTGACTGACAAACGGTTGAGAAATCGATAGTCAATACTTTACATGTTTTGTCAAATGTGGGCTGTTTTTGTGCTCGGAATTTTAACAATAAATTCATAATCCATTAATGGAAAATCATTTTTGAACTGTGACTAATGTTTCCCACAAACCTTCTGTTACGACTAGTCGTAATCAAAATGACATTCAAGAATAATAAATAAAAAAAATTGTTATTGTATTACGCTTTTGAAATATTTTTAGATTGTTTTAAAATATTAACTTCAATAAAATTGCACATTGTTTTAGAACATTTTCAATTTTTTTTTATATGGTTTGACGTATGTGATGAATCGTGCGGTGCCTTTATACATTTTATCTGCACATTGAAAAGTGCCACTCTCTATTTTCTTTTAATCCGCGAAGATTGCACTAAAGATAATGCAACGCCTTACCGCATCTTAAATTCAATTATATGCTTCAAAATGTCGCTCACTCTGCAGTCATAAGCATTATCCTTGCCATGCGCTTGCCGCATACTTGTCTGAATAGACATGAACGCAATTGTGATTTTGAGTATTTTTGGACAAAAAATTGCAAATACTTTTCAAATCGGAATTATTGATTATATCTGATTGGAAATCTGACGACTGGTCTCCGCTCGTATCTGTCATGTCCATTTAAATACCTTTATCGCATGTCTTATTCATGAAACGGAAATGAGTAAATCTGAAATGAGTTGAAGTCGCAGTATAGTATGAACTGCATAAATAAGTATGTGAATTTCAGCGAGCCCCAAAAAAAAATGCAAAGCACTTAGCACTTTATAAAATCGCTTAAGACACGTATGGATACTGCGAAATTGCTTTATTCACCTAGTTTGCGTCTTCTAGAACGGTAATATAAGATAAATAGATTCTTGTTAAAACTTGGCCTGAAAGGAAATATCACCGTATTATGAAATGTTTTCTATTATACTTTACAGTTGTTCAAACAGTAGGTTTCAACGGATCTCAAACTCTCTTATTCCCTATGCCGAGCACTAGACGGACGCAAGCAGAAGAGATTTATTTCCGATTTAAAACACCTCTCAGTTCCGGCCTTTTACTAACCACAACGTCGAAGACAACCGCCGATAGAGTCACAGTCAAGCTCGTAAAAGGAGGACAAGTTAAATTGACTGTTGACATAGGTATGAAGCTAAAAGGAATGAAAAATAAGCCCGATAATTTGGCTTTTCAACCATTAACTTCAATTAAAAAAAATCTATTGCTCATAAATACTGCACATGAAGCGCCAATCACCAACTGCAATCAACACTAATAGCTTGATAATTGTAAAATAGCAATGCCCCAGTTATCACCATTACCGCTATAAATCCAATGTCAAATTCGTTATAGCTATACAGTTTAAGTGTTCTATATTTAGTATGTATTTTCAAAAAACTAGTACCAATCAGGGTTCATATTCATAATATCAATTAAATTGATCAATATTTCTTCTGGTTAAGGAATTTTTCCTAAATTCTTTATCGCACAGTTTATAAATTAACCTTGTCACAATAGCGATTCAGGCGATTTTAGGAGTGGTTTCGTATCATTTGTCTTCAAAATAGGAATATAAATATATTTACAATGGAATATTAGCTCGTGTTGTAATGAAATGTTTGTATTTTATAATTTCTCCATAATTTTCAGGCTTTGTGAACAACTATAATTGTATCAAAGTTCGGATAACATATTCTCCATACAATTCAATTCATATAATTTAATCATTCCCAAGTACCAATGTATGGACCAAAAATAGTCATTTTAAAGTGTATTTTTAATTTGCTATGTTAAATTTCCTGCCTATACAGTACCTGTTGTCTTGTCACATTACAGATTGCGTCAAGAAAAACTGCACAGCACCTCGTAAGTCATATTTGCACTCTCACCGTGCACTGTTATTATTCGACATTGCATGCTTGTGTAAATTTACTAGTTTAACTCTGCGCCTGAATTGGTGTTATATGTCCTTGTAATGTCATTGTAATTTTTAGCTTGAAGATTTGTTGAAAGGGGCCATATCAAATTCCAATAGTTATTTAATAATTCATATTTTTATATCAAAACCAACGATACTCTGAAAGTTAATATACCATCAACGACTTTAATACGTGGAATTGACTCTATTGGGAATACTTGTTAAAATCATGTCGAAACTATAGGCAATAATACTTCAGTAAAATCGTATATAGAAAGGAAATATGTACTGTTGGGTATATATAGAATTATAGGATTTTTTTATGTGACCCACGATGTACGAGCTCCAATCAAGTATAATAATACAAATAGACAGTTACTAATTTGTTACAATACAAATCTAAATCAAACAACATATGATACCGTTTGATGTAATTGTGACTCCCTCTAATATGTTGAAGAGTTCCGTTGTGCTCATTATTCAAATAACACTACTTGAATAACCAATGACATTGCAACAGTCTGAAAGGAAAATCCTAATTCCGTCCGCAGTGAAACCTGATCGTCTCGAATTTAGTTTATTTAAGACGAATAATAAATGATTAGTCGACCTCACAATGTTTCAACTGTCTGCGATGATTTTAGTGCAAAATATATTTTGGCAATAAAAATATGGAACCTACCGTCTACATACAACATCAATAATTCACGTACTGGAAGAGGCAAAAAGCTTTTACATGTTGTCGACACAGGGGTGAAAAATTTTGGCCCTGAGTAAAGGCTGTTCTGAACTTAAATATACAACACAGCGAGTGTCTCGATTACAGTTTATAGTAAAGAAAAATTGAGTTCAGTCAAGAAAATATAATATGGAGATCATCTTTAGTTGACTCATACATTCGGGTCATTCTTCCAATTCATCATTTTGGACACAATTCCCCAAATAAAGTAGTTAGGCACCAATGCGGCCAGATATATAAATTTTCTTAGGTGACATTGAACTAAAACAATATTTTAAATTCTCATTAATGCGTTTGAAAAAATTCTGCCGCATTACTTCGATACTTATATAATTATTTTATATCCGATTATTCCACCATATAATGGTCATCAATAGATTTTGCATCTAATTTTATTATTCGAAAATCTAGCAATTTATTTGTTGAATTAGTAATCCAATATACTTTTCGTTTTTTTTTCAATTGGTATTATCTATAATTTTCGTTTATTATAAATTAGCGACAAGGTTTGATTAGCTTTTCTCTATTGCCAGAACTTAGTGCGCACAATTAAAAAAATATTTTGAGAAACAAATTACCTTATCTAGTTATTTTTTTGATGATCATTAAATTAAGTTCTATGTACTGTACATGTGATACATCTTAATTGCATGTAAATCATTATTATAAGATACTAACTCTTATTTGACACATTCGTGTAAGGCTAATTTGAGATTGTAACACTTCTGTGTTGTTTTTAAGTATCATGTTAATTTAAATTTTATTTGTTAACCCGACTAATATTACCAAAACAAAATAAATAAGTTTTGAACAAAATTGTCAGGTCAAGGACCGGATAGCCTATTCCGAGGATCGGGTCTAAATGACAACAAATGGCACACTGTAAAGATTTCGAGACATGGTCGGAGAGTTAGTCTTGAGGTAGACGGAAAAATTGATGGAAGTAAGTAGTATCAGAATCTTGGTAAAAGTGTTTTTCTTAGTCCTGATATATACTTGAAACAAAACAAAAACGTTATAAAAGTGCCGTAATGATGGCAGGCTCACTGCTTGCACAAGAAGAATTTGGAGTCCTTTTAGAATAACATGATGATTGCTGGGAAATTTGAAATTCGTGTTGAATATCCATGTCGATCATTATTCATAATATTCAAAATTTAAATCGATACACTGATCTCAATGATCTCGACGAACCTTCAACAATATAATAAAACGTTTTTGATTTATTGATTTTAGAGATCGAAAGTTTCTGGTCGATGCTATTGCGCAGACTGACCCTGAACGGTAAACCCATTCCTTGTAGAGATACACATCACTGCACAATTAGCTGTCTTCATTTCTTGCTTGCCAAAAATAGTTCTATAATTCACCCAAACGTGATCTATATATACACCAGTTTTTCTTAAACCATGGTCCATTTATAATTATGGTCTGTAATAGTTTAATATTCTTTCAACATGCCTAATAACAGTACTATACTATATTTCAGTGACACAGTTTTATAGTAATACAAATATTCTAGTCAAGAATGAGTTACTTCAGTATAAGTTTTCTTTCATCTCTCATGCTTTATTTCTATTTTTGCAATAAAAATCAACAATATTCTTAACATATCTGGATTGAATACACACGCTTTCTAATTTTGACACTCTGGTAGCAAGAAACTTCAATCTCCTCCACTGCACTAAGGCGTAATTTAAATTAACAAGTTCTTTGAAGCTCTGATATCTCCCGGCAAATATTTTTTCTTTATCTTTCTCGCTTCCAATCGACATTAGGCCCATTTTTTATTTCCTTTCGCTTTCCTTTCATACTCTTTTGGGCCTCAGTCGATTTGTCATCTCATACTTTATCAAATTTATTTTATCTCGAGAATCTACTTGTTATGGACTTACATGCATGAGTAGCAAGTATACAGCAAAGTGAATATTAGTGATAAATTAGTACTTTTGTTCGATATTATTCATTTGCATGACGATACTTGCTTTACAGATGAACTCCCGGTTGGTCATACCGAACTTCAGTTTGATGCAATTCATTTGGGAAAAGTGACGGAACAAGTTCTACCCAAGTTAAAGTCGGAAGTTGATCCACCCTTTGCAGGACTAATTCAAAATCTTATGTTTAATAACGAGGCATTTATAGAAAGGTACGGCAACTTTTTCTATTTTGTTTCAGAATTCGCAACTCGGATATAATAACATTAATCTAGCAAACATAATATGAGGTCTATGGCATATGTATGTATATCACTTTAATTATCTAACAATATTGTGAATAAATTCAGATGTTTTCAACAACAAACTCCTTGCCGATTTACCGGAACGTGGGGCGAGACAGAAATAATATCGAATGCAGTAACTTTCAACGATAAGGACAGCTTTATTTCTACTACTACTCTTGATGCATACAAGTGGGTGAAAAACTTGGTCCTAATGATTCACTTATGAAATTGGTTGTTATAAACGCACAAGCTCGATTGTATTGGATTAAAGTGATCTTACTACATAACGTTATTTTATTAATATAACGTTAATTTTTCAGGTCTATGACTCTGTTCTTTAATTTGAAAACTACAGTATCGGATGGATTGATTCTTTATAACGCAGGACGAGACTCTGATTTTATTGCTGTTGAATTAGTTAGTGGATTTATACACTACGTTTACAACTTGGGAAATGGTGCACAGGTAAAATTATATGGGTTTGTTTGCTACTGATACTGATATATAATCAAATATTATTAGCCTTTGCTCAACAGAAATATTATAAACGTTAAACCACTTCAATTGGCAGTCAACAAAGTGAAAATAGTCACTAGAGCACCATAAATCTTTAATTTATTCTAAATATATACCTGTTGTAGTAGCTACAAAATTATAGGAACATGTGCAACAAGGAATTGATTAATTCTGAAGTTAAAACCGAATTAGGTGAACTCAATTAATGCGATAATTTTGTATTTCTAGATTATCAGCACACCAGATCAACAGCCCATCAATGACAACAAATGGCATTCAATTAGGATCGTTCGTGATGTTTCGAATACGCACACTTTGTCAGTGGATGGTACTATGGTAATTCACCATGGCAATGATTTGAGAAGGAATCTTGACCTCAAAGGTATGAAAAGACGTAAAATACAGTATTATTACGACAACCTTAGCAAACTCAACAGAATTCCTATACTGGGGGAGTTTGCATTGAACCAGGGTAAATAACAGATATGATTCAAGGTATATTTATTTGTGACTTCATTCCAGGTTTTTTATTCATTGGTGGCGTGAGGAATGACTTGTATTACAATGGACTACCTGATCGAGTAGCTTCTCGCAAAGGTTTTCAAGGATGTTTGGGTACTTTTGATTTCAATGGAGTTTCCCCACAACTACTCAAAGACAGAATAATATCAGCTGGAGATGTACGGAGCGGCTGTATTGGTAAGCTGATGAAAATAAGCTAACTTTCGACGAAGATGGTTGAAGAATATTTGTGTATTTTATATATATGCATATATCAAAAATGAGATCAGCCATTTTGCAACTAAATATATAATTCATGATTCAAATACATCTTGTATAATTTGAACGATTGATATTTAAATTAAATTGCCCATATTCATTGAATAATTATTTAACCTAGGCCCGAAAGAACCTTGCACAAATACATCGTGTTCAAATGGAGGTGTATGCCTTCAAGAATGGAATTCTTTCACTTGCGATTGTAGCATGACGTCACATGTAGGAAAAACGTGTACGGAACGTAAGTATTATCCCGGGCAATTTTATAGGAATGAAATGATGTTACTTCTTTCGAAAAATAAATGACTTTTTCTTCTCATTTTTTGGGAATTGTGGTATGGGCTGAACGAACTATCAAATTTAATTAATTACGTTGTCATATCGTCAAGTCGTGACTTTTTTGAAAAGATGATTACTGTTCTGTCTATATTTATAGCTATATACAAATATATATTGTTTGTTTAAAGTCATGCCTTACAATTGAAAATCATTTTACTCTGAGCATATTCGAAACACCAAAAAAGTTTTGTTAATACTTTCCCCTACTATTGATTAAAACGTAGTTTTTGTAATATTTTGAAATTCAAACGAATTTCATGAACATCCAGGTTTCTGATTTTTGTTGCTTTTTGAGCACAGATGCTTGCTTAAATGATGCAACGAAAATCGATTGCAGTTGTAAACTTAAATAACAACTAATTGTTATTTACCAATTCCAATCATTGAATTTCTACCAAATCAGTATATTACAAAAATGAAATTATTTTATACAAATAGAAAATGTTTGTAATTCGTATAAGTGACGAGCACCTCGTAAAAGAATATTTTTTAACACGGCAATTAATTTCCCAGTACCATAAGCTCTACAATATCGATTTTCTTCTGTCATTTTGCTGAACACCATGCCTTGGGTGCACTTATAAAATCATTACATTACACATTATTTACATTCGTACTGTGTTGTATTTTGGTGAAAATACGAGGGCCTGTCCAAGTGAAGTACCACTGTTTTATGTACATGATCCATGATGTAAAGTAGTGTTAAATGAAGTTTAATTTTTCAATATCCTGTATTCATTTGCGCGAAATTAATTAAGCTGAAGTAAACAAGAAATTAATATCCCGATTATTTTCTGATTTAAAAATATTTAGCTTGATTCGGCTAATGAATAATTATTATTTTATTGGTACAAACAGATGTGAGCACATCGACCGGTAAGAACGTTTCCGCTTTTAACGTGATTAACAAATAATATTTTGGCATGAATTTATTAACTTACTAAAGGCATGGATATAACACCGAATTAATGACTAATTCTGGACTTACTACTGCCTTTGGAATGCACTTGCTTTAGATATAAATATTTTATGCCTGCAGTTTGCGTTTAGAAATCTTTCCGTCAACAAAACTAACATAGATTTATGTGCATTGTTCTAGTTTTATACCCACAAACTTATCGGACATACACGAAGTGTCGGACATACTCGCCTGGCATAGATTGTATCACCGAGTGTCTGTATTATATACATATAGAGAATCACAGCCTTATTCTATTGAACATTTCCTGCATGTTTTAAATCATCATCTTGCATGGAGAAATGTAGTTATCTGAAATGTATGATATCTGTTAAATTTTTCATTTGTCGAGGATTATATTTAACCTATCTTTTCAATTGCACGAGAATGATGACGAAAATTTAACGAGTTTTAACACCGTAACACGACTGCGGATTGCGTCTTTAACAAAACACTTGAAGTAAAATTTATCATTACAAGAATTTTAATTTGTATCATTTTGAAACTTTAAACATATTTCATTTTTGAAATTAATAAGTAAAACAGTCGAGCTTTGCATGTTATTCCATGTAAAACAAAATAAATCAAATGCATGATTATTGCTTTACTTTTTTGTAGCATTTCATGCGTAATCTCTCCCGCTCCAAACTCTCATTGGATCATTAACCACATAATTAGTGTAATGATAAACATTTTTAACAATCTTTTTGAAACATTCTCAGAAATAAAAACTAAATTGTTTTCAAGAAAAATTTCTTTGTCCGTGATAGCACTAATGCTTACTAAACATAACGCTTTGTAACTGCATTTGATAATCTTACCCACAGGAGGTCCATCTTTTCGATTCAATGGAGGCATGATAGTTTATGAATGGCCGTCTGCTTCGTTTCCAAGCTCGCGTAAAGACAATTTAGCTTTGGGATTCGCGACCAAAGAACGAAACTGCGTTATAGCCAGAATCAGTAGCATGGCAAGCAGTACCATCAAGGATTATATGGAATTAGGAATTGTAAGTGGCCTTATTGTGCACAAGGGAGTTTTTGCAGCATATAAAAACTACATATTGCTTGATTTTCTGATGTTTTGCTGTTAGGAATATCGCGATAGACAATTTGCTATTTAAATTTAATGTTACATTCTTTTTATGTGCCAATATTAAATTCATCGCAATATCTAACCGAACCTACGAAAGGTGAAAGCGTAACGACAAATCATCTACCTATTCCGTTTCTAATTACTATTGTGGTATGGGTTGTAGGTTGGGTTGTCGCACATACGGTGTTTTCGAAATATACAACAGTAAAGCAAGCAAGCCAATTTAAAACCAATTTCGACCCAATGCAAAAATATTTTTCAACATTTTTAGATATTAGTTTGTTGGATTTATTTAGACTAAGCCATTTGTCATATCATTTCTATATATTATTTTTATATTTTGGAAAATTGGAATCAACGTTTTGTGATGAAGTTCTATATCAACAGAAATTAAAAGTATTTTTTTGTTGTTGTCATCTTCTAGTAAAATAGTATCTCAACAGTCTGCTGTTAGATGGATTTCGTATATGATTGCAAACAGCTTCTCATCGATGTTACTTGTGTAGAGTGGAGAGATGATTTTTGATACTTGATATACTTCATTGTGTTCTATTTATTATAGGAAAATGGAAGACTAACTCTGAGGTTTAATATTGGCAACAAGGATGTTGTATTGCGGGAACCAATGAGTGTAGTGGATGGTCAGTATCATCGTGTGGTAATTTGCAGAAAATGGATGAACGCAACCATGCGCGTCAATAGCTGGCCGATCAGAAGCGTTGGACAGACAGGTGAGAATTCTTTGACGTCGTGAATTTTAATTCTTAACAGAAACTGATTGTTGGATTCCGTTAAAGCCACACCAGTTCTACTATATTTATAACGGCAATCCTTCAATCAGCTTCCGACTATTATTTTGAGTGTTTTCGGTGTGTTTTGCGTAATAACTAAGACGTGGAGAGTGAATATTTTTGTCGCAAGAGGGCGCTAACAATCACATTTTTTACTACTAACCTCTTGTGTGCTATACTATTTTGACCACCTTTTCGTAAATATCGTGACACGATATAATCTTGACATTTTATTTACGTGCAATATATACAACTACGCCAATGAGCGCTCTATCACGCTTTATTCATTATTAACTCTTATGTGTAGTTGTTTGCTTCTCCATATATCTTTATAATAATCACTCGTTTGAATTTTGACTAATATTGAACATATTGTATAATTGGGATAGTGAGTGATATGATTGTTCATTCTACTAATTACTCACGAATTCCTTATGCTTGCGTAGAACCTTCATGCAACTCAATTTTTTTAACGCCATAACCGGTATTAAATATTATCAATTCGCTATGCACCTGGAAACGAAAAAATATATCCCATATACCCCAATCTCTACCATTTCTAGGATTTCAATTTAAAATTATATTACTCTATTTTATTGAAATTTCAAGAAGTTTCTTTACTAATTCACACTTCGCTTCGCTTCTTTCGCATTCTAATTTCGGCAACTTTTGCTTCTTTCGAAATGTTTCTCTCTCAAAATTCCCCACTAACGAATACCAATGTGTATTTTTGTAGGAAATGCCCGAAATCGTTTTGCTCTTGCTGCTACCTCTATACCACCTGCTGTCCGACCGACAGTGAATCAGTGGTTAAGAGGGAAAGGTATAATTGAATTTAAATATATCTGTGCGTCTGTCGTGTATCTAACCATCAAGCACTGTCTATTATTATACGTGCGTTTTGTTGAGTTTTGTGCGATGTCCAAATGTACAGTTACATTGTAGATATGTGAATTATATATATACAAGCCCACAATGAAGAGTTTTGTTATAAAAATGAGAGATGCAACTTTAAATCATGCAAATTGTTATAGTAAGCAAAACTCAATATTTCAATAATAAATGCTTGTTTTTGTACGCTTGCTATATGACATCATCTACTACATTGATGGTTGCTGGAATAGAAATAGTCATTCAAGAGCATAGTACGCATACTGTTGTTATTGCTTGGAGGAAGTTCGTGATTGTTTGTAGAAAATTCTAAATTGATATTTGCGGTGATGAGACTTTAAATTAGAATTGCATCGTTTCAAATTGGAGTAGTATTTTTGCGCACAGTGAGTTGGTATAAGTGATAGAGAACCATACAGGATCGGAGCATAACAAGGTCTGAAGTTTAAAATTTAAACCAGTCACTTTTGCAGTCGATAATAATATGTTACCAGTGCAAATTACAGTATTACAGTATCGTCGCAAATTGCTTTTTAGTTGCAACTGTACAAAGGTTCAAATTTACCATTTTTGTAATTCTAAACCCCAGGACAATTTTCATTATACACTAACATTTCTATTTCATACCTATACTTTTCAACTCCTAATCTTTTGTTGTAATGGTTGCTAATTTCTAGTTTCACACTTTCACTGCTGTATGTTTGCTATCTGCTTTGCTAACTTCGCTTAAAATACAAGAAATTCATTAGTATTTTTGTTAACCGTTTTGTTCAAGTAGAATCAAGTGACGGTTATTATATCTTATATAGCCTGCTTTGGTGACTTTCACTATGTATGGAAAAGGTAGAGGCTTAGTTTCTGTATACATTTCAACATAAAACAATTTAAATTTGTTTGCTTTTTAATACTGTTTATATTTGTTGAGGTCAATTTTTCATACAGGGATACCTAGATATTGCTGTCGTTGGTTGAAAAAGTCGTTTTTTAGAACGATTTGAAAACGTTTATCTTATTTTTCATAAACATTTCAACAAAGAAATTGATATAAAATTTAATAATATATTCCAACTTAAACTGACTATACTGGCCATGATGAAGTCGCCTATATTCTTTCATACCCGTATTTAATCCAGTTGAATAAGTTGAAGTTAAAACTGCGATTGTCGGTTGTGATGTACCCAAACATGTTATAAAGTTATAAATGTTTATACCATAGCATGCTTTGTTTGATATATTAATATGAATTGTGCTAACTTTCATGTTGTGCTGTAATGTTTATTTTTATTAAAGATATTATAAATGAATAGTAAGAAACGTCGCGTAAAAGTGATATAGTTATTTAAACAACGTAAAAAAAATTTCTTTAAAAAAGTGTAAAGTTCATTTCGAGTCATATTTATATCACTCAAACGTAGTAAACTGTATTTTGAGACTTGTAATTGCAGTAAAGCATTGGTGCAACCAATGTGAATAATTTGCTTCGAACATGTGTTTTAAATCAGTTTTTACAACATCAAATGTTTACAGAAAGAAAAAACACTGTGTTTAACTCTCAATCTATGATTCAAGTTGGTGGGCTCATGATGGACAGCTCTCTAGAACCTCCTTCTTCTAGAAATTCTAGATCGAAGAGAGCCTTGAAAGTAGTGCGTGCTTTCAGAGGTCAAATGTCAGGATTCTACTTCAATGACGTCAGTGTATTTACCTTAGCTGCTCAAGGTATAATATGTTCATAATTCTGTATGTTTTCAATTTAAATGAAGTTTTTCTAGCATAAGCATGTCCTCCGAATTAAATCTGAGATCAATGGGAAATTAATTTCGTTGTTCCTAAATAAACAATTTCAATTTATTGAATCACGATTTTGTTTATTATTTATGAATGGAAGCAAATAAAGGTATGGCATTTTCATGAGTTAAGCACGATATTTTGTTTTAATCGTCAAGACATAGCTGGTGATACACATGATTCGCCCAGTAAAGTAGGCATTGTGTAATGCATTTAACATATATGATTCGCAAAAATATCCATTTTGTATATTTTTTTTGGCCTCGGCCCGCCCTCAAGTAATTTTCAGGACTTTTTTCTTTGTACATTGTCAATCGCTTTAATGGTATTCCCTTTTTTTCAGGGAGCAATCAAGTCTCGATTATTGGAGAGGTAAATTTAATCAATGAACCTCCAGTTGTACCCACTCCACCTGGGAATTTGCCATATCCAACTACCATGGCAACAATGACGACATTCACAACGTCATCAACACGGCCAGTTTCCATGGAGGTAATATAATATATAGTAATATTCTTGTAGTTCAAAAACTTTCATTTTATACCCGAAATGTTACAGTGTATGCATAATGTGAATTGCTTCTCAGAACACTCAACAAATCCATAAATAACAACACAATTGTAATTTTTGTCATTAATGCTTTAACTTGCGAACAAATTTTTGTTTTCAGAACGCAAGTAAGGGGACTGAATGCGACGGCGAGGAAGTTTGCTCTGGCGACTCAGGTATTTTGATTTTATGATTTTGAATAGAGAGGAATTATTTTCAAAACTTATATGAAGTCTGAAGATTCATTTATGCGAATATATGGCTGATATGTTATGATTTCGAGAAATTTACATAAATAAATTTAAGCTCAACTAATGGCCATCATCGCGAAATGAAAATTTCTATAATTATCATAATTATATGTGTATATATCAACACCCTTTTAACACAGCTCTGACTTTATTCTTTATTTTTCCCTGCTTTCCTATTCTTCATTTCGATTTTTCTTTCCTATTATTACGCTACATTCTCTTGTTGGTTTCTCCTTTTCTACAACAGCTATTCTATATTTTCAAAATTCTGAAGAAAATTCTGCACGCGTGGAAGTCGGAAAAGTTTTTATTTTGTCACTGATTTGGACTGTTTTTAAATTTATAGTTTCATCGGTACATTGATGTTACCGCATAAACGTAAATTTGAAAATATAAACAAAACATCACTATGCAGCCTAAAACATAAACTTACCATGCGGATATGATGACAGCAGTACTTTTATTATGATTTGTCTTATTACGCAACATTTTCTATAAAATAATTTTGTCAAGTCGAAATAAATATCTTAGCCGTCCCGTTTTGTATTGAAATTGCTATTACGTTTCGGGTGCATTCAGATAATTATAAAATATAATTAGTACTTTGCGCTGTTTTCGATGAACATATTAATAAAAGTTTATATATATGATATATATTTTTTGTTTCTAAAAAAATTATAACGTAGTTTAATTACGCAAGACGCTTTATTTCGCAACAAAACAGTCTGCTAAGATATACCTCACCTTTGTGCAACGAAATAAGATTTTCACCACGACGTTGAAAAATTTTCCGTTTTTCTGCCGCGCTTTCAAAGCAAAATCTAGAATATTATTCACGTTCATTTATTTTTGTACTATTTAATTTGTGCTATTTTGCTAACTCACAAATCATGACATCTTGAGGACGACATCAAAATCTTAAAACTAAACATACCATCATATATATCTTTCTTCTATCATGTATTAATTTCAACTTCAATTCCACTTAATTCAATCTAACATTTTATTGTTTGCATCTTTATTTTAAAATGTCCCTCAACATCTTCATCATTTTCTTCTCCTTTTCTTCCCAATTTACCCGACCCCCTCCTGCAAAATGACGACCGTGCGACGAAATGGCGACCTCACGTTTATGCTTTCGTTGTGGATGTCACTCATAACCGTTTACAACAACAACAACATTGAACTAATCATCGTTACAAATTCATCTACTAAGGCAACCGATCAAAAGACAACGTCATGATAAAAGATGACAAGGATACGCAGATGACTCCCGGAGTAATCATACCACCTTTAATTACTCGTTCTACTGGTGCGGCATCTTTTGAGTCTACAAGAAAGTCAACTCCAAAGTTGACAACGTCTGAAACAGTTGAATCCAGTTTTAACGACACAAAATTTAATGGATCTGCAAATTTAAGTAATGGAGATAAAAAGATCACAAATGATAATGGGTCAAACGTGAAAACTGGATTCTTGGGGGGAATTTTAAATGGGACTACTGCAATGATTGCGGGAATAGTAGGAGCTGCAGTTATTTGTATAGTAATCCTTTTGGTTGCCATTTACAAGTACAAGCACAAAGACGAAAATCATTATCATATGGACCCTAATGCTCCTGGCGCTAAGGTTAGCAACGGGCATGCCAACGGACATGCTGGTTCAATTGTAAAAAAGAAAAACGGCTCAGTAAAAAGTAATAATAAGTCCAGTATAAGGGGTAAGGAGGTGGACAAGGAATACTATGTATAGCTACCCATCATATCTTGTTCATAACCAGGTAGTTGGCATACTCCTTTGTGGAAGGAAGGAATTAAGATGCTTTATAAGAATGAAAACAGCCAAAATGTATCAATTGCGGGACAATGATTGTGGAATTAGATTACTATTCGCCATCAATATGAATATTAAGTAATCGTTTTCATATGCTTCCAACCGTGAAAAAAAATTGATTCGGTTACAGCAAGATGGCTGAAACATTTGCCTTGTTGTAAAATCATTTTGTTTGTGTCGTAGAAGCATTAGCCATCTTAATATATGTTGCGTGAATCCATAATGATGGATAACTACGTTTGTTACATTCTATCAATCATTATCATGTTGGGATACAACCAACAATACTTTACCCTTTTTTTAATTTGAATTTCCAATAATCATTAAAACGACATCCACGAGCGCTGTCTGAATGGAGAGAGCTCTAAATACGGGATATGTACTGATGAAGATCTGACATTATTCAATTATGTCTGTAAAATCTTCTAATAATTAAAACTTATTTATATTAATTAATTTGTTTTAATACAAATATTATTATTCTGAATCTACCTGAAACAATTGACAAATACTACAAAGTTAAATCATCTGACGGACAGCTGACGACGGTTTTGGTGCACGAAATTGTAGCTGAATTTTATAGATAGTAATACAAGCTGGATAAAGAGTGATATCGATTTCATTGGTTTTATATATTTACTTATGTCTACCGTTCTCTGCAAGTTCCGCCTTATTGCAAGAGCTTTGCGCATGATTATTTTTTAGTTCATTTTCAAATAAATATATTGAAACATAACTTGTTGAAATCATGTTTAGGTATATCGTTTTATTTAGGGAACTTGCAAGTGGGTTTTTGAGTTTGTATTATGGCATGAATTCGAAATTATTTCCGTTTAGATTTGCTGTATTGTTGACAGTCATGCAATCGAGTATGAGAGATTATTACAGGAAAAGCACACTCATTTTAATAATTAGTGGAAAATACATTTTTTAAATAATGGTCCAGCTTATGTAAAGAATGGCCTGTGATTTTGTAAAATAGTTTTAGGCCGTGGAAAGCCCCTAAGTGCCACGAACACTTCTTACATCCGACAGGAAAACTAGCAGGTGCAAATCAAAGTTTTAAATGGAATTGAAAGTGCTCAAAAATATTTTCCGAAACTAAAGGGTCACCAAACCCATGCCAGGGGACGGAAGAGTTTTATGGAGACAACAAGATACATGTCCTCACGAAGTGCCAATCGCGATGACTGAATTAATTAACAAACAACAGCGAAGGAATAAAGTCGCTACAGTCAAAGAATTAAACAAGCAATCAAAGCAAATTCCTTGTTTAATTCTTTGACTGTAGCGAATTTATTCCTTCGCTGTTGTTTGTTGGCCTTTTCAAATCCAATATGGTGCACAAACGCATCACCAGTGGAAGTGTGGGAAACACTGCAAAAGAACATAAATGGATATTGCGTCATTCCTCGGGGATTGGCCGTGAAATTTTAGGATTGCTTCAGTCGTGTCCTCGTAACTGAATTATCTTTCATTGCATCCCGCTCGATTGCTAACAAATGAGTCGACTGTTTTCCACTGGGTCCATGTTTGCGTCAGAGCTGTGCGCAACAGCTTGAACCCATGTCGATTTATCATCCAAATTATCTCAAATTTATCATATTTGAATAATAGGCGGTAACTATAAAGATCAATCAAATATCACAGTAGATTTTTCGAACACCGCTATTGCCAGCGCCTGTGCACAACAAAATGTCTGCAGGACCTCCCGAGTCATTACCAAGGAAAGTGTAGATAACCATCTTTGCATGTGAATAGAGTTATAAGGCAATTAATTTGAGTATTTCAATAAACCATTTGTGAGTAGTGGTACTATATATCGGTAATTTGAACATCGGTGTACCAGTATTGGTGTATGTATGTACTTGAAAGAATTCTTATAAAATGAGCTGTATATGCATATGACATTGGCTGTATATGTATATCATCCGAATGGCGGTATATGTATATTGAGTTGGATGTATATGCATAGCTGTTTTACTATGCGATCTAAACCAACCAAAGTCTCATACTATAACAGATTGTCTGTTACTTAAAGCAACGTCGCTTCAATCTCAGTTTAAATTGATCTGCAATTGTGTTAACAATTGTTTAATCGTTTGTTGTTTAATAATGACCAGACGGTGTCGACGCCTCGACCGATCATGTTGGTAACACGATATACAAATGCAGCCAAAAATATGCATATATAGCTATACATATAGCGCTAATGCCATAAGCATATTCTATTTAATATGCATTCTTTTAAGTACTTTATATATATATATATATATATATATATATTTATATATAAATATATATATACATAGTGTACAATGTTCTTGAGTGTCAACTTGAAGAACAGACATCTCAAAACATGAGAAATTGATATTTGTGATACAGATGCATGAATGACGTGTCTATGGACCGATCCACTACTCATTACTTATCGATCTTGATCGGTAAGTATGTTGATAGGTATTTGTCTGTTTGTTTGTATGTATGTTAGATGCACGCGATATCTCACAAAAGCGAGGTTCAATCTGCTCCAAACTTTGCATGTTCATTTATCATATCACGGACCAGAAGGCCTATCGATTTTGGATGAATTAGGTCGTATAATTAGCGAGTTATTTATTAATTGGTGACGGGACACACGGTGTCGCTATGGAGTAAGAGCAGATGAATCGGAACCGCAGTTTTTGTTTTGGGGAATCCGCTAACTTTCGATCGATACGTTTTCGGTCTCCGACCAATATTCTCGTTAATGGTTTATTGAAATACTTGAATTATTTGCCTTCTAACTCGCATGCAAAAATGCATATCCACACTTTCCTTGAAAATTATTTGGAGGTTCTGCAGACAGTTTGTTGTGCACAGCCGCTGGCAATAGTGGTGTAAAAAATCTACTTTCATATTCGATTGATATTTTTTTCTATAATTACCACTTATTACACTGACCAACACATTTTCTGGTGTCCAAGGTTTCAAAGCGGATTTAGGTGAATTTTGGGGTGCTGAGTACCAAAATCATATTAGTTTTTTCTCATCGGGTCAAATTGTTGAAATATTTGCTATTTAAAACCTTTTTGGTGCTTGATTAGTGTGCGCGCCAAATTGGCGCACAACCTGATCACCTTAACCTGGTTCACAACATACTATGTTCGGGTTGTATAGTATAGGTTTTTATTGTGATGTATACCAAACGATTATGACATCACACACCTTGAAAGTAAAAGTCAAGTTTGCTATATAAAGAGATGTAGTTGATAAAAAAGGACACTGCGTAGCAATAAACAAGCTGCAATAAAATTAGATTCATCAAAATGGGGTATCTCAATGTTGTCCGTAACAGAGCTTTTCTTTTGTTCAGTAACATTTGAAATAGTACGATTATTTGTTTCATGACCAGTGGCGTAGTATAGGCTTTTGCTTACAATTTGGAACCATGCATGGGTTCTTGCGTCCGCACTGCCTCGACCAGTGCCCCTTTTGTAGACACGAAAATCACAATTTCAAATCCCTCACGTTTCATATTCCTACACTCTTTGATTCAGGAAGTGACTGCATTTGAAACATTTAGGAATTAATCTGTCAGGAGTTGCATGGAAACAATTGTATTAAAATATGATAGGTGTTGTTTTATTGGTATTTGCATTTTCTCTAGTTTTCTGGACCTTATTCGGTTTAGAATTCGAAAGGTTTGACAATTCCCTTGTTTTCTTACGCACATATGACACGAGATGTGCTAAGCTCAAGTCCTCTATTTCACATGTCAAGTATCATCCACCAAATTTGCCAACGTGGCCTCCAATCTCATGCCATTTTCCACAAGATTTTATCAATGATCATCAAAGACAGTCCTTCATTTATAATGACCTTTATGTATTTTCACTTGAAACTAATTCAGCAGCATACATTGTTAAAGCTTCCGGGTCAGTGGTTCTAAGTTGTGGGCCATCTACAATAGAATTCAAACCTGTTCAATTTGCAATTTATGGCCATAAGTAATTTCAGGGCCTCATCATAACATACCTAATCTTTATGTTGTGTATTGTAACAGATAAACAAATCTTTTGCAGCAATAACTGAATCTCTGTGTCAGTTTAGGGTCAGGGCATAATTTTATTGCTATTTTTCCCTATTTTAGTTTTATTACGATTTCGGGTCTGCCTGGGTTAGCCAAGTGAATATACCCCCTTCAGTCTCTTTTCTACAACTAAATGTAAAGTAGGCGAACAAAATTAGTTACCTCCATATTGGTAAACACGCTTCTGGAGCGCTCTAAATATACATAGCAATTGCTCCAGTGGGCTAATTAAAGAGAAATTCTAGCAACAACAACAACATAATATCATTTCGTGTCCAATAAATTTGCTATTAAGAAAAAAATACAGTCCAACATTACAAATTCATTGCATTCAATGCCAAGTTGATAGCCGGCCACGCAGTCAGACAGTAGTCTACTGACTTTATATGCCTTATAACCGGCGCATGAAATCATCTTGCAAACAAGAAAAAAAGAGCAAGAGAACAATGAACAGATAAATGACACGAACATCGCACAGGAATAGGGAGGAGGCCAAGTGCCGAGTGCAAACAAACGTGACCGAACCGGTGGAACGTGACGGAATAAAAACGCGTTCCCCGTTATTTCAAAGGAAACAATTCTTGGTGAAAATCTCATAGGCCACGTGGGTCAACCGTCTGTCAGTAAGTACTAAAGTTTGAAATCCATTAACTGCAAATTTTTTCACAGCAGCATCAAAACCTCAGCTACACTTAATTAGGAAAACGACACTTTGTTCCAACGAAGCAACAATACTTTTATTTCACATTGAAAATAAAGTGGATAAAACAAGGTCAAGCCACTAAAATATATCATCAATCCTTTGTAGTTTGACAAAACATTTTTTCAAAACAATTTCCCCATTTTCTGGCCCGTCCCGTTTTGGTTCATTCCTTTCGAAAGTCGAATCTTCTGGTGACGTTGATAAGTATGTCTGTGAACCTGTAAATAAGATGGCCCATGCATAATCAAACTATACTATTTCATGTTAACAACATCTAATTCGCGAAAGCACTTACCACCACAAGTTCTTGGCAATGTACAAGAGTCTATTTCTGCGTTAATAGGATGTTGCATTACAAAAATCTCATCATGCTGGGCAGCTGACGACGACTATAATTTGGAAATACAAGGAATATAAATGACATATTTATGACTTAATATCGCTTTATATACTATGTATGTTGCTTATGTGTACGATACAATAAAGTTACATATTCATTATCATCATATCAAATACAATACATTTACTCACTGTAGTTTGGGTGGCACGTCTCTCATTGCATACTTTATTTGTGAGGCAAGGTTTAGAAATAACCCCGTTGCGTTCTTCAATTTGTCTTTTTGCTGGCATATTTAAGACGGTTGATGTTGAAGATTTTGTTGCAGGGCTAACGGCACATTTTAACATCTCTTTCTTACATCCGCTTTCACAAAAAGTCAAATCCGGAGTGTTGTATGATTCATTAGCAGGATAGTATAAAAGTGGCGGAGGGGAGTGGTGAGAATTGTCAGATTTGAGGACATTTTGGCGGCTATCTTCATCATCTACATCATAATTATACATATTTTGTGAAGCATGTTGATTCCTCGATATGAACGGCGGCTTAGGCGTATCGGCGTGTTTGGATTTTTCATTGAGTGCCGACGTTTTACGTTTCGTATTAAATTTAACAACTACCTTTCGTTTCGGTAAGACCTGCTTGGCTCGGGAAGATGAATCAGATTTGGCTGAATCACATTTAGTTGAAGGTGCAAACTTTAAATCTGATTCAGTTCGTTTGTCGCTATCCGGATTATAAATTTCATCTGAATATTGTTTAGATAAATCGTTGGAAAAACTAATATCATCAAACAAATTTCTTTCTCTGGAAATCAGTACTTCAGGATTTGTTTTCTTTCGCTCATCAATTGTCACTGGAGAAACTTCTACATGAGGACATTTCGGGTATGATTTTATATCTCCCTTTGACCTCTGATCCATATTTCTGTCCCCATACTCTGTATCGAATTCCATAATTGAGAGTATCGAAATAGTAGACGCATTGCTACAAAAAGAATTTCCACTTCCTACAGAATCGCTAGAAAACTTACGGTCCAAATCAAAACTACTTTGGGGAAAAGTTGTTTCTGGTACTATTTCTCGAACCAATTTATCATTTGAAAGCATTTCCGTGATCAGCTTCGAATCGTTATATTGAATAATCGATTTATTTTCGAGCGGAAACATTTTGGAGGTGAATGTTAATTCTTCCTGACCACATATTTTTTCTGGCTCCTGAAAGATGGATGCAGGTAAAGCATTAGTATTCGGCGTGAGTGCAGTTTCTCTTTGTTCTTTTTCTTTCCTTGTCCGATTAATTCCGCGGAAACATTCAAGATTTTGTAGAGCAATACAACACAGAGTTTGCAAGGTATAAATATCAAAATATTTTTCTCCACAAAAGACCGCTTCTTCGTCTTTTAAAACTTTTTCTGTATTTTTGTCGGTGATAGATTTGCTATGCAATTCATCGTGAACAAATTTTTCTGATTCGTTTCTGTTACTAAGGGAATAGCAAGAAATAATCACGGGCATTTGTTCACAATCGGAATCAACGCTTTCTTCCACACCGCCCATTCTTTCGTCTTTCCCGGGTTCAGGAGAGAATCCGCTCGCATTTGAATTAGAGAACAGCGACCGTGCGGAACTGTTTTTGTGCTTACAGCATTTGTAATTGAATTCATTCTTGGAATTGATTGTTAATGATTTGTTCCCAATTGGCCCCGACGTAACAGATATTGCTCCGGTTGCTTGGGATTTTACAGTTTGTAAAGAAGAACTGACATTCTCAAAAGAGCTGTTTTGTCTCTCGTCTCTAGTACATCGATTTGGGGAACTCAAACGTGTTTCCGCGATAACATTTTTTACCGAAACCTTTCGTTGCTGTTGTTGTTCCTGTTCCCAAGTATCGTTATCCACAATCCAAAAAGTTGGCACGTCGTCATCGTTAAAATGAAGAGAATCTTGTGGTGACGTCATTTGACACAAATTTGAATCTGTTCCACTTAAATTGGAATCCTTTGGTTGAGGATGCAAGTTTTGCATTGAAATGTCAGATGGAGATTTGGCGATTAAATTTTTTACGCAATGTTTGCTCTCGACTGGTGCTAAAGGATTAGAGTTTGTTGTCGCTTCAGTTCTTGAGTCTAGAGCTGAACGCAAGGAAGTACCGTCTCCACCTTTATCCTTATTGCATACATGCTTGGAATGCCTATTCTCAGATATAGAAGTTTGCACAACAACATCACCAAACAAACGATTACGTTGGCGTTGTTCCGCTTCCCATATATCAGGATCCACAACCCAAAACGTTGAAATGTCTTCGTCATCATTCAAGTCGCGAGGCCTTCGAGGTGACTTTATTAAATCCCATAGATCGGTGCTTATGCCTGGTTTGTTTGGGGAGGAACTTGTTTTTTGTTGAACAGGCGAGTTTTCCGATGAGGCGCCAGACGTGGCTTTAACTTGAACATCTTTCCTCAAACGTTTGTTTGGAGGTCCATCGCACTGTCGTTGAACTTCTTTGTTCAATGATTTACATGTAGTGCGAGACTGCAGATTTGCAAACAAAATTGGATTTTTTATAGCGATGCCCGTGTTTGTTACATTCAAACATTCTTGATTAAAACTAGAATATTGAGCCTCGCGTGGAGAGAGTACCCAATTACTGTTTTCCAGAGGTATTGATCGCTCTCTTGGCATCTGATTGATTCTTATTGACTGGCAAACAGGAGCTTGACGGAAATATTGCGTATTAAGAGACAAATTTTGTGTCTTATAGCCAGCATGTTTGATATTGCGCTCGGATGGCTGTAATTGCTCATTTGGAATGTAATTGGTCCTAATTGGAAATACAGAGGGACCCTTAGTTTGAGTACACTTGATTTGTGAATTTCCATAATTGAGTAATGTAGGCTTTGGTTGCTCATTTGAAATTTTATTATTCACACGTGGAGGAATTGGAGTCTGCCGTGAGAAATTTGGCTCAAAATTTGAAGTCTGAATTCGTTTGCTACGGTAGACTGGTTGTGTCTGCTGCTTGTTGTTTGTAATGTGATTGGCTATAATTGGTAAATAGGAAAATGAAGGCTGTTGCTGGTTACTCATTACTTGCGAATAAGTGCCTGCCAACGGTTCACGGTATTGCTGTCCAGATGTGTGATTGGGCTCTTGGCGATAATTTGAATAAGTCTTGGTTGATGTATTTGATCCAGCTAACGTAGGTAACATATGATGATAATATATTCGTTGATGCCCCGGCACTGGTAAAGTACCGCTGCCATGCGATTGCGCGGTCTGAATAAAAAGGGAAAGTTAGTTAAAAATCGCGAATTCACTTTAATAATATACGTACTTTATATTCTTATAGATGAATTTTTATTTAAAATAATAGTGATAATATACTTTACGTACAAAACCATGTCCCTTTGTTATTTATCAAATCCTTTACATTAAACACCAAACACATGAAAAAAATCTGCTATACCTTTGGCCTTTTATTTATTAGTGCAGTTCGATCAGACTTATTGCTCGACATTGTAATTGTTTCATGTGATAGATTCCCTTTTCTGCTGCAGTTACCAGCAACATACTCGTGCAACGGTGAACTTGGGCAGTTCATGAATTCTGTAACTCCGCTGTGTTGGTTGTCGGTTAGAACGTTTGGTATACTGCATTTCTTCGGGTTATTAGAAGAAATTGTTGAGGAGAACATCAAATTTTGGTTTCCTGGATAACCATGACGTTCTGTCTGGTCAAGATATTTTTGATACTTTGTGTGTGTTGATCTTGAAGTTAGATAAAGTTTCTCTTGTGAACAATTCACATCGTCTGATTTGCGACCATTTAATTGCAGTGCAGGATACATCCCTTACAATACACTATTCAAAGAAACGATATTTTCTAATATACAATAATTATAAATGTAATAAGAATAAATGTAAGAAAAATATTCCACTGCACGACGTAACATTTAGTTTTTACCGACGTTGTAAGAGTTGACCATATGAACAAAAGTTGTATCCTGCCAGAAACCATCACGTGGTAAATTAAGTATAATTATTTTTTTAATCGCTGTAATTAACATCGTGCTGTAATTAACATCAACTTTAAACTTAAAATCGACACATAATCCAATTTTTAATGATAAAACTTTGCCAACGTTCTGTTCTCACTAAAATGCCAATATATTGTTGAAATACAATCTTATTCCATCGCCCTGAAGATGAACGTAGCTAAATCCGCGAGCGTAGCTATAATTTTGCTGCTATATACACCTGCGCTTACTATCGAAGCTCCAATTTCGCGTAAAAACTACCTAACATGATAACTTTCGAAGTTAAAAAAGTTGAAAACGAACAGCTGATTTGTAGTAAAAACAGCAAGCTGCAATGAATAACCGCTGGCAACAGGTGTAATAACTGATTTACTCATATGACGTTAAACACCGAATAAATAAATTGACGTTTATATAATATGGGTTCAACAAATAACCTATGTTAATTATCGGTAAAATTCGATCCGGATCAAAATTATGAAGTTTTTCAAAAAAAGGAAGAATTAATACCGGATGAGCAATTTTTATACACGGCCATAAACGCGACTTAGCGTTGGTAAGTGCGCGACCTTACAAAAAAACTAACAACCGTAATAAAGCACAGGTAACGATAATTCTTTCTGAAAAAACACTATGAGCAATTTTTATACACGGACATAAACGCGACATGACGTTGGTAAGTGCGCGACCTTACAAAAAAAAACTAACTACAGTAATAAATCACAGGTAACGATAATTCCCTCTGAAAAAACACTCCCGAAGTAAAGTAATAATCAAATCTGATAGAAAGCATTTGGTTCCAGGCTTTTTTATAGTGATACACGTAAAGTGTGCTCAAGTTGAAAGCAATGCGTTTTGGACGCACTTCCTTCAAGGCAATTGATAGAAAAAGTCACTATATATATATATGTAACTGTATAGAACTATTCTTATCAACAAAATCTATTTAAACCAAGACTAGAACATCGAAGATAACATTCACCACGGGGAAGCTGAAGCAGTGTAATCTAGACGAAGATAAGCGTTAGTTTAAACAATGCCATTTAATCACTAGAAATAAGAAGAAGAAATAAACTCATTTTTCTTATCTAACAGACAATTACGCTCCAAGAAACGTGCAGCTTGTCTTCCATCGCACATTTTTGTGAATGTGGAATGACTCCCAAAACAAGAGATCGATACTCAAATATACGGTCACGAAGACCAAAACGAAGCACTTGTCTACCTTACCTTATACAGTACCGGTACGGTAACATAAAAAAACTTCCGACTTTCGTGTAGCAATAAAGTAGGCCTACCTCGTCCACGAGAGAGGTCGGAGAAACGCTACAAATAATTTGTAGCAATTTGCAATAGGTCATCACACAAAATTTCGCAGTAAAAAACGAATCACATAGAACTCACAGAAAGTTTTGATGGAAGTAATAGCCTTCTAGCGAAAAAATCCAATCGATAACCACTGAAAATTTCAAAGTAATTGATAGTGTAATTAATGAGAGAAGCTATTTTTATCATACGGTAACAAAAAGAAGAATACCAACAATATAATAAAAAAGATTCCATAGATCTACATTGTGTCGAATACCCGTCTTTTCATACTAATATGCTGTCATCATTCAATCCTACAATTCAACTTTTTATGAGTGCATGTTCAGACAATGCCGCTTTATCCTATTGTCTTTGCTCCTTACAACCTTATGTTCTAGACTTCTTGCCTCAAAGCTACCTTTAGTTTCGCCCAAATATATACTTCGCCACACTCACATATAGGAATAAATATGGAAAATATCACATCAATGGGCATCTAACATGATGCCTAGCTTTACGTACGACGACTAGTACATTTACTGCAGTCGAATTTCAATTGCTCATACTTTTGATTCCCCACAGTTGCAGAGAATATATATACCCCGAACCCAAATATGTGAGATCGTCCTTTACACGTTTACAGCACGATACCTGACTAGCTCCTGTGAGTGCAATGGATAAAAAAAATAAAGTGTACGATTTACATAATTATATTAAGCGGAAGGTAGGCCAATATTGCATTTCGCCGAGGATATATTCTCAAACTGTCGTCACTCCGACAGAGCGCAAATGTAATAATTAAAATTCCCTGCGGCATAATTGCTGCCCTTAGGACTAGATGATGATTACACTTTTGCCAGTCCAATCTAAGGTTTGTCCGAGATTCAGTGATGAATAATAAAGATTGAGTTTAGCAAGGTGGCAGGAGTAGGACGTTTCAGTAGTTTGGTTTGAATTTGAACGCGATTTAGATAAGACAAAAGCAGATTCACAGAATGATTAGACTTCCCAATACAGAGTCAGCTAAATTAAATACTCACAGAAGACGAAACAAATCATTACGGGCGGTACGACTAACCAGCCAAGTAATTAAACTGAATTGCACAGTTTGGATAATCAACAATATTTAAATCAGGCAATAAAGTTTCCCATTTGTAAAATAACCAAGAAATTTAAACACTGATATGATGTGCTGCTTTAGCGAATATTAGTAATTTTTACTTAACTTATTAATAGTATGTAATAGTATACGAAAAGGCTGAATCCCGTTTAATTTCATCCAAACTGAAAAGGGCAATCATGGACAGGACCTCCTGAGGTATGTGCAACAAGATGGAGCACAAACTGAACTCAGGTTGTGTACCAGGTTAGGGTTCAGGTTGTGCGGCATCTTGGTGCGCATACTTCAGGAGTACCCTTTTTTTCAATAGAAAAATTTAATTAACCAGAACGTACCAATCGCGTCCGTTCGAAACAACTTAAATTGCTATCAGGCAAGATTGGTTTGCAGAACACGTTCTAATGGTTCTCGGAAGGCGATTTTACCAATATATTTTGGCTTATGACGTTGTTATAAATGAAATAACAAGAAATAGGCACAAGGGCATAAAAGGCTGTGTAAATATGTACAGATAACCATTGGTGGTAAACCATTTTTGTTTCAGTTAACAACTGAACTACAATCAAGATATTAAACACTTGTTTAATTATTCTTTTTTGTACCAGTGTGGATATCTTATGTCACCTCATTACCCGGTTTTAATACACAATCATTCACCTTGAATACACAACCATCACCTTGATGTCAAAATGCCCACATTTCGAACTCAACAATAGCACAGTACATCTTCATACCAGAATACCACGAATAAACAAATCCTGTTCTAAACTAATCCGATTTCTAATTTCACCCTAACATTGAACGCGAAACCAAAATACAACAGCAAGGTCGTGTCGAAGCATGTGTATCCTGTACCAATGTTCTTAGTCGGCAAATTTGTACAAGATGACTCCGCTTAATAGAAGTCGGAAAATATGGTACTGGGAACGACGAGTCGTCTGATTGTGTCGCTTCAATACTTTAGAGTTCTAATTTCGATGGCTGAGTCAATCATATTTAATTTCGTGGTAAACCACGTCTATTGAACCGGAGGCTGTTAAATTAACTTTAATATGCTACAAATACTTGTCCCCTATTTCATTAAGTAAAAATTATCACTGTTTGGATCGTTCACTAAACTTATTAGCCATATCCTCATTTGGAACTTGCGTAAGTTTTCTTACCTTTGTCACAAACTCCTAAAAAACTATTACTCAGACACTAACCTCAATTGAATTGTGTTGTGTGCTCAGAATACGGCCAATAATCAAATAGCAATTATCACGTTATCATTCCCCGCCGTAGAAATTTTGATGACTGATAAACGAGAATATCGGTTGGAAATCGAAGACTTATCGATCGATAGTTAGGGGATCCGCCAAAACAGAAACTGCAGTTTCGACTCATCCGCTCTTGTAACTTGCACACGCACACTCGGCGGGTCTCAAAATTCACTCGCTTTACAAAAATCTAGATCACTATATCAATAATTGATTGATAACTCGCTAATTATACGACATAATTCGCCCAAAATCAATAGGCTTCTGGTCCGAGATAAGATGAATGCACATGCAAAATCTGGAGCAGATTCAATCTCGCTTTCGTGAGATATCGCGTGCATCTAACAGATAAACATACATACATACAGACAAATACCTATCAACATACTTACTGATTAAAATAGATAAGTAATAATCATTGCTCGCTGCCGACAACGATGTTTCGTGAAGCAAATTCAAATCATACCCGTGTTTATTCACATCTGAAGGCTGATTTGAACGGGGACGAAAGTTTTACAAACATGTCAAATTATATACTAACTTTCTTTCTCGATGAATTTTAGTGACATTCAAACATCTTCTTGCACATTTTGTTAATATTAAAATATAATATTAAAATCTCACAACTGCATTCTTTTCTGATTCTAACACACGGGTCTTAGAGAAAATGGCAATTGTACAGTGACTGTAGCTAGATTTGGCGGGAATTTAAAATAGATTTCCCCATTTCAAAGGTATTGTGTGAAGTACGCTCCAAAGTTAATGATTCTAAACCGGATGAATCCACCTTAATGGCGAATGCAAATTTTGCAAAGGTGAACGAATGTGAATGGCTGAATGAAGTGAGGAGTTCGAAAACTCCGAGCAGGTTCAACAGTTACCCTTGAATAATTTACTGGCCACTTTTGAGTTACGCTTACATGAGTTAGAACTATTTAAGCTTTTAATGGAATGGCAATCCCGTACGGAACCCAAGTCTTTTTGATTGGATTGAACTGGGCAAGCCAGGACTTGTCTGTTAACCGCACGGACGGACAATTCAGAATTTTGAATCTGGAGGGTGCGAATTCCCGCGATTTCGAATTATAACCAATTTCATAATAACATTCGGTTTCAGCCATTGTGCAATGATTTTGATCGTGTCCGGAAAATTCGCCGCAAGAGCATTTTGCTGTAAACAGGGGTCACCAAGCTTTTTTGACCGCGGGCCAGGTGTGAGATAAAACTGTGTTGAAACGGGCCGGACAAATATTTTTGTCAATGCAATGTAATAAATTCTCAAAAGTAGGGAAATCCATTCAATTTATTCAACAATATAAATTCTACATTTCTAAAGTCTTAAATGTTAAATTTTATATCGCAGAATATAGATCAAGAACATCATAGCAAAACAAATATACAAGATTTCTAGACAACTATCCTAAGGTTAGCTGTTAGCAAAACAATTGCTGTCATGAATATTCGCATGTAATCAGTACAAAAGTTAACGTGACTTGTCGTATTAGCGCAAAATGCACGTTCGATGTTCATTTCAGCACGAGAACGTACACAGCACAGTTTCGCCGAAAGCATGTGCCACGAGTGCGTGCCGGTAGAGAATTTCAGCCTATTTCTAGACAATTTTTGATTACTGCAATCAAACTATTACTCCTAAGAAGGCAAAATTATGATTGACTTATTCGATTCATACTTAAATTTCGAAATCACAACCAAGAACTAACGAATAGCTTTCAAAATTGCAAAAACGAGGTATTGTTTGAAACCACAACTGAAAATCTGTCCGAGTGACAAGTGTCTGAGCGGATGCGAAAGGGTCTAATGTTACGTCACTTTTTGCATCTTGCTGACTGGCCAATGTTACGGTATGAACAAGGTAATCGATGATGTAAGAAACATATTTTGGAAAAAAATTGGCCATTTTTTCGTGATATTGTGGGCCAGATGAAAAGACGCCGCGGGCCGTAGTTTGGTGACGCCTGCTGTAAAACAAGCATTCGTGATAACATGAAAAATGGCCGCAACAGCATTTGGCTGTAATACAAGTACTTGTGATAAGGACAATTAAGTTTATAGGGTTAGAATAAGCTCCTAAATACCGAATCTGTTTTAAATATGTATGTATGTTTATTAGTCTCGTAGTAGTAACAAATATAAAAAATTGACAATATTAATATTGAAGACGGGACGCATGTACAAGACCGTACTGGCCTAGGTCATTTCAGTTGGCTGTACATCAGTAAATTATTCTATTGCGTCAGATAGGGATCCAATAACAGCCACAGCATTGAAATTAGCAGATCATTATAAACATAATAAAAAATAAAATAGGATTTAGTATGCTAAACTCGATTTAACTTTTTTAAAATAGAAATTTATTCAGTATTTCGCATTCTTAATTATCCGTTCTAGTTCTACCTCGACGCTTTATGCATAAAACATTTAACAACCTTTCTATAATGAAGAACTTATTTAGGGGAAATTATTCTCATTTTTGTTCATATATACTTGTAGCAATTTGAACTTCAAATGTAACATAGCATACAAATACAACCATGCCTTTAAAGTTGAAGAAATGTCAAGCAAAGTTACGGGAACGTGTTCGCGCTCACTCAGCAAACTTGTTCGAAAATATACTCCCGCGAAGACACAATGCCTAGCCGAGGATGATTCGTGTTGACCCACTGACTTCGCCTTCGTAGCGGGATTCCGATAATTGGCTGAACGACCCTAAATCACCGCAGCGGGTTAGTATTTTATGTCTGTCGTTAGTTGTAAACTTCAACGATATCCAAAAACCAGTGTACACTATTAGCGCACCAGCAAGCAGTAATCATTTTTTAAAATACAAGATATTTGAACTCGAAATTATAGACTTATAATCGTACATACCGTACTGATTCTGACAAAAGACGATTTAGGCCTTGATTATAAACAAAGCAACTGGTACAAAAACATTTCTTAAGGTCTCCACTTCCTGACTTCAGTACCGAATGCCTTGTTCCGTCCGAAACGCACTGTGCGACAACTGTCTGCTAGACATATGACGCAAAGTACTCACTGTTTTCCAATATCTTTTACGAGATAGACGAAGATAAGAAAAAAACATACGAAAGTCCCACCACTTGGCGCTGGCAACTGAAAATTAGGTCATTCTTCGTTGTTCACGAGAGAATCGATTGAGGTCATAGTGAACTTCTTGCTTTACTTTACAGATAGTGAATGTTTGGGAGGCAATGTTATTGGCTAGTGTGATTGACTCCTGAGCAGTTTTATCAGTAAAGGAGGCCGCGGACTTCAGATAATACATATTTTGTTTGATGGAAGGAGTATTATTATAGCATATTTGGGTAAAATTAACTTCCGTTAGTTGATGGTTGGACGAACGTGTTTTAGCAATGATTTCTGATTTGACTGGAATATTGAAATTTAAAAGTAAACTGAAGTCATAAAGCGAAACCATTAGACATCGTTCCGAGCATGACCACGTCTCTGCGTTATGCACTCGGGGCATCAAAACAAGGCCATTAAATGACCAATAAATAGTTCGGTTAGAAAAGCATATAGAAAATTGAGATAATTGAAGGTAAACTATAGCTCGACATGCAGTGCAGTGTAACTTGGATTTTTCTTTGGGAGACCTTTCATATAAAGCGTAAGATATTGCGCATTGAAAGATATGCGCATTGTAAGATATTGCGTCTACTCGTTTTACAATAAAACAATTGAAAGCTTGTGATTTTGATATTTATGCGTGCACTACTGGGTTAAGCTCTATCCCAGTGGGGTGGGTAATTGGATAATATTATGAGGTTCACTGTCAATAAATTTTTTTATAATTACTCTCCTTATCGCTGGTCTGACATTGAATCAAGATGGTTAGTGCTTGGCATATGTTGTCATAAGCAGGTGTCGTTACTCATATTTCACATTTTTCCGACGACACCTGCTACGTGCAAAAGTTCTACTTATGTATATTGGGACTGAATAAATATTACAACGGGATATATATGCAACACGTTAACATTTCGAAATTCAATATGTATCCCAAAATCACTCATTTTGTTCTACGGGATCAAGGTAAAGAGAGACTGATACATAATTGGATTTGTTCCATTCGTTTGACGTGCCCCACTTGTTCTACGTGTCACACGTGCCTCACTCATCACACTTGCCTCACGTGTCCCACTTGCCCCACGTGTCCCAGTCGATCTAAGTGTCCCCCTTATTCTCATGTCCCACTCGTTCTACATGCCCCTTGTATCTCATATGTTCTCCCTGTCGTCCCAAGGTTGTGAAGATTGGCGTATATGTGAACTATACCTGATTAAATTAAATTATTGTGATTACTATTTATGAAAACGATTTTTTGATTCACAAATTTTAATGGCAATAGATGTATTAAAGATATACCGATACCGCTATATCGCCGATACCGGTAGCAATCCGATATCGACACGCCGATATTTCGAAAAGACGTTATTCCGAGGATATTCAATTATCGTCTCGATTGTGAGGGACAGCCAGGATAAAATAGTTTCTCTAAAATACTACTGACACTGACTTTCTTGAAACTCTGACGTCATGGTGTATTACGATTGATAAACACTACATTTTACAGGGTACTTGTTAATGTCACAATCAAAGTTATGTTAAACGCCTGATTCAATCGACGTTATACTCATGGCTATACAAAGTTTTCGTCGTTTTAATTACATCAAGTGTATAATTATCAAATCACCTTGACCATGTCATCACGTACTCCGACACCAACAATCGGATAACTTTTTTTTTTCAATAGACAGAATGGCTGTCAAAATATTTTTATTCTAATGTATGTATCCTCATTCAAATTTTTTATCGCAAAATTACAGTCTTCAATTGATTCGGGTATAGTTCACTTATACACCAATTTCAACAACCTTAAAAAACTGTTCTATCTGTTTCATTGTTCTAGTTAGTTCCAAGGGCATACAATCCATCAAAAATTATTTTTCAAATAAAACTATCTTATTAGACAGATAATATGCCAAAATGTACCTTATCTAACTGAATTATTTAAATATATACTTGA